ATGTGTGCGACAACATGTGATTCAGCACCATAGCATTTGTTAGGATGCTGAGGAGTAAATCAGAGTGGCCATTAAAATACTCAATTCTAGAGACCAAGTGCAAGTATAGAGGAGAATGACTATCGCAATAAAAAATACCAAAATCAATGACAAAATACATTTTTGTCTTGTGACACTTTGCATGTGACACTTTGCATGTGACAGTGACTTTAGGATTTACCCTTTCAAAGTCCTTTGCACGCTTTTAATTGATTCTTTCAGATAGTTGGCATTCTTACTTCCTTTGAACCTAGAAAAAATTAGTCCTGGGGAAGTTTGGTTTCTTTCCCAGCAATTTCAGGTTATGGTGATCTTATTGCCAAAGTGGCAAAGCTTGGCTTTTCTGATTGGCTGTTTCCATTTAGTCCGTGCAATGAACACAATCTTGATCTCAGCAGGGTGCTTAAGGAAACTGTATGTACGTATTCATTTTGGGAAAAGCAAGCAATTCTTGAAATACACAGAGGTCAGTGATGGTTCTAGAGCTTTAAAAGTACAATGAGGTATTCTCAAACAGGGCCTCCCCGGTGGCGCAGCGGGTTGAGCGCAGTGCTGTGAAGCTGTCCTCAGCCTCTGTAGCGTGGGTTCAATTCCCGGCCCGCCAGGGAGAGACCCGCATGGCGGGGCAGACCTCTCCCGTCTCGCCCGCTGCTCCCCTCAGCAGCTTTCGGTCCATCTGCCTGTTCTGCTCCCCACTCTGTCTCTGGTAAATCCTCTCACCCTCCCATGCACTGTGAAGCTGTCTGCAGCCTCTGCAGCCTGGGTTCAATTCCCGGCCCGCCAGGGAGAGACCCACATGGCGGGGCAGACCTCTCCTGTCTTGCCCGCTGCTCCCCTCAGCAGTGTATTTCAGTCAGTCTGCCTGTTCTGCTCCCCACTCTGTCTCTGGTGAATCCTCTCACCCTTCCATGCCTCTAGCCTGCACCCCAACTCTTATATAAATAAAAAATAAATCTTTAAAAAAAAATTCTCAAACATGCTGTATTCATTTTACCTAAAAAGGCAATATAGACAGTTGATGGCATTTGTATGTGAGAGTTCATAAATAAATAAGGAAACTTTCGTTGAGAAGATCCAAATGTGTGTAATAAAGCCATTTGCGAGTCTATGACCCAAAAGAACAGTTTTAGACCCTCTAGTATTTTGTATCTAAATATTTAGATATGTGTGTGTATTCTGCTGTATTTTCACATTTTTCATATAAATTATTTGTGTACAATCATTATAACACTTCACCAAGGATAAAGTTTTGCCATGTACTTATATGAGAACATGGTCAGTCAGTAGCATGGTTTACAACCTTGATATTTAAAAGGAGAGAGATTCTTCCTCCTCATTGTTAGTTGGTCTGATCCCAGTTATTAGCAGAGAATTTACCATTTGTTTTCTCTAAAGGGACACCTTTTTATAGGAAACTTTAGAACTTCAGCTCCCAAACTATTCTCACTTCCGTAGATTGTACTTCGAAGTATACTTCCCTGTAAAAGTTTTGTAAGATCCCTTTGATGTGGCATTTGCCACCTTCAAAACTTGAAGAGCAGATGGTGCCATCCATGCACGCTTCTGATTCTTCTCAAAACTCGTCTTCCTCAGGGTGCAGGGACCAGATGAGCCCATTTAGTAGGTACTGTTTCTGCCCATATGCTTCACATGTGACATGGTTTCAGCAACTTCCCTAGCTTCCTGCTGCCCCTGGGAACACAAAGTCTGCATTTGTCCTTGGGAAAACCACTGCCCTGCTGTGAAGTGTGGGATCCCACTGCTTTCTCTCACCTTCAGTTCACTGCAGCCAAAGAGCCACATCCTGTGATTTCTAGACCTTGCAGAGTTTTACCAAAGTGTAATTTTTTTTTAGTGTTTTCCGTTATGTGTCTTAACTCTTCTCTTCCACCTGAATAGATTTGGATAAAATTAATTTAAATTTTAATCATATGGTTTGTTCTGGATTCATATTTTAAGATTTAATAACACTATGGACTCAAAAACACATCGCCGATACCTTTTTTTAAAAAGCAGTCAACTGGTGTCTCTTGATTTTTGACTTTGTAAGTATCAATTTGTAGCCAGTTTCATTACTGTCAAAGGTGTGGCTTTTTAAAAAGAGGGATTCGGCAAGTGCCTAGCAAATAGGAGCAAATTCGTCTTTAAATTTAAAAAAATCTTTTTGATCTATACAATCTATTGTAGAAATGGAGCAGGGGCCTTCTGGAATGTTCCATGAAGTGCTTCCTCAGAGAAAACAGACCTTAACTGGTTGCCCCAGTATGTTTCAGGCTGGGTGGTAATGTATAATTAACAGAAGGGCTGTTAATGTTTATATGAAATTAATGTTTCATCGCCTCAGCAAAATGTGAAGTTCTTAAAAAAGAACTCTAAATTAAGGTCTTCAGTTAGCCCCTTCCATGTGTGCCTCTCCTTCCACTAGAAGTAGCCCAGTTAGCAGTTGGACATGGTTGTGGAAGGTGAATGCTGTGCGTGTGTTTGGGTGCATTTAACACCAGGCTCTGCCTGCCTCCTCATTCTGGAGTTTGCTGTTTTCCACTCAAAATTATGTTTTGGAGACTGTCCATGTTGTGACCCATAGAGATAGCTCATTCCACTTAACCTCTGCAGACTGCTTAAGTGCCTGCCATCCCATGGTATATTCAGAACTCGTTTCTAGATTTCCTTCAAGTCAACAGTGCTACATTGAGCTTCCTTGTACCTGCAGCCTTGAATTATCTTTCAGGTAGAGAATGAAAAGTGCCTGTGTTTTATGTATGAAAATTACAAGAATCAAGGAATTTAAGATCACCAGTCTTACCCATAATTAGCAGAGTGTGGATTGAAGCCATTTTCCTTGGCTTCTCCTCCTAGTTGGAGATTGTTTGCAAATTTTTGTTGCTTGTCATGGTAATCCCAAGTGAAATCAAGTCCTGTAAAATCTAGCTCTGGTGAAATCTTGCTTATTTCAATTCTAAGGAGATCAATCTAAATTATAGAAAAATCTACATTTAAAGATGTAATATAATTTAAAGTAGATACAGTAATTCACATTAATATAACTTGATGGATTCTTTAATGAACAAATAAAAACACCCAATAATTATTTTCAAGCATAATAAAATATCTAAATTGCTCAACATACTAATTCTCCTCCATAGGGAAAATAATTCCCCTATAATATTATCTTATATTTTAATGTACTTAGCATTCATTGTCTCTGGATAGAGCAAGGTAGTCCTAACCACTTCCTTTCTGAATGGTATAAATTAAGCAAAGGAAGGCAAACGGGCTGGAAGTCGAGGCTACTTTTTACCAGGTATACTTTCATACCTTTTCTTGAATTATTATAGCTGTCTTGCAAACTGAGTCTTTTTATCTCTATATTATAAATTGAGAAACTGAAGCAACTCAACTGAGGTTGCCTATCTGAGTTTGTCTGACTTGAAAGAATGTTCCTCCTTCAACTGTATCATAATTTCTTTAAGTGTGGTCCTTAGACCTCCTATTTCAGAATCTCCTGGCGTGTATTTCAGATTCCTGGCCTTGAGGGAGGGACCTGGGATTGTACGTATTTAACAAGCTGCCAAGTGCTCCTTACGCATTCTGAAGTGTGAGAACCATTCTGTCAGACCATGCTGACCTCATTTTGGTGATGAGATGAGCCTGGCGAGGAGGCGTAATCCCTGTCACGCCCCACTCACAGTGGGCACCTTAGCAGTGCGTCTGGAGGTGGCTTCCTCCTACTCCCACTCACCCACTTCTTTTGCCTCACGTTACTTGCACTGAACTTATCCTGGCTCATGGTTTGACGAGTCACTTCCAAGACTGGAAATCTCCCTAGGGATCATTTTCCAAAAAAAAAATTAAAGTTTCCAGTGCAGAATCATCAGATTCCAGAGCCTACTACAGATGGCATCTGCCTTTTGCATTCAAACCCTTGCTGAAATCAAATATTAAAAATGAAAGGGCAACTTGCAGAAATGTTACTTTTGGAACACCAATAATTGGTGCTTTTATTTTCCTTTCTAACCTCCCTTTGCTGTACTCTCCCGGTGGGAGATTTCCCATAAGTCTGTCCCTAATAGCTGCTGAGTTTCCTAGAAGTGAGAGATCAGTGGTGCCTTCCAGTCCTCCCCCTCCCACTTAAGGACAGGGTTTGGGAAGAGCCAGCCAGATTCCCTGACCACCTTTGTCTCCTCTGCCTTTGTCCTTCTCCATTATTATCTTTTTCCACTCAGGTTGGTGAAATTTCTCTTTCTCCCTCCCAACCTGCATTCCCTAATCCCACCCGGAGTCCATTCCTACAAGCTGAATCGGAGTTTGCTTGGAAGACTGGCATACATCCGAGAGGTGTGCTGATGATCTGGAGGGGGCCTTTAGACTGACTTGCATTTGTATTGTGTGGTAGCAAAAGAAAAAAATCCGTCTTTGTTTTGGTGTTCAGCTCATCCAAATAAGGAAGGCATTTCCTCTCTTGAAAGACAGAGGGGAAAAAAGGAACCAAAAAATTTTTTTTTAATTTTAACCATGTACTCCTCTGAAACTAAATATACACACCCCTCCCTCTGTCCTGATTGGTCCGCTTCAATTGACAAGTGGATCATATAGAAAGGAAATATCCTGGACTTAATTGTAAGTTAAGTCTCTCTTAATCCAGAAGAGCATTTGAGATTCTGTCCAAGTGTTCAATTTCCCAGGCCGCTGAGGTCTGTGAATTTCTTTTCCCAGCCTCCAGGCTGCTGCAGTACAAGTCAGCATAGCTAATGCAGATAGATCTCCTGCCTCTCGGTCTCCTCCTCCCTCTGCTTTGATTCGATATGAACAGCCTGGTAACTCCGATGCTGGGGAGAAATCTGACATAACTCTGCAGATGGCTAGGTTGCCATGAAACACCTGGGGATTGTTCTTTAAGGAAAAGGTAACATTTATATGCTAATGATTTCTTCCCCCTCCCCTCCTTGTTGCATTTTTTCCAGGGCTTCCAGTTCCCAAGAAGAGCCCAAAGTCGGTAAGGACTTATCAGTTACTTGGTGCTTGTTTGGGCGTGGGGGGGTGGGAGGGTGGGGGTGGGAGGGGTGCCTTCTGGCTTGACTTCACTGTATGTATTTTTGAGTGAATGGGGGAGCCGGAGCTTATTATATTAAGTTCTGGGGATCCGTTTGGTATCGAATGTATTTGGACTTGTCTTTAACTGCCTAATGATTTGTGGCCAGGCTGCAGGAGCCAGGATTAAGAATGCATGTTTGAAGTCTTCGCTATGTAAATGCATCCTAACTCTCATTCAAAAGGATGAGTTTTCTTGGATGTTTTAACTTGATAGAAATGCTATTGTTTCCTTTGGGAGGTGGAGAAAAAAGCTCCACCTGCTTCCTAGGTAGCATTGCTCTCAACTGGTGTTTCCAGCCTTTCACATGGCTAGATCGCTCTCAGAGCTTTCTTATGCACTGGGTGATGAATTATTTACAGAATTTAAAAGCCTATGGGTTTAAGGAAGAATTGCTCTGCCCCGTGTCTGTGTCCATGCTCGGTTGGAACAGTGTCCCCTGCCCCAGCACTGAGAATAAGACATTTCTTTGCCGTGGAAATGTCCTTTGTTGTTTTGCAAGCTTTAGCAGCATTATGCTGCAGGTATAGGATTCTTTAAAAAAAAAAAATCAATGTTTTGCTGTCCTTTCTAATCTGGTTTCCCTGAAGATGCATTACCTAGTTGACGTGTTAGCTAATAGCTTAGAGGCTGGTAGTGTTTTGCTTGGTGGTGTGAGCTTCTGCTCCCGGGGCACTAACAACAAATTAAAATGCTACTTAAAAACTCAAAATTGGAACTCCAATGCCTATAAAATTGATCCAGGTGGAAGAGGCTTCCCAATTCATTCACATTAGTATAACGAGCTAGTCTTCCATGTGGCTTAGAATTTTTGGGGGAGGAAAAATTTCAGCTTTCTGCCACACGGGAAAAAGAAAACCTTTAAAACTTTGCAGCTCATGATGCTGCAGCTGAATTCTTTCCACCTGTCTCCAGATCTGTCAGAGAGAGACAGAAGTTTATTAAGGAGATGAGATAGGGAGCTTCCTGCATTCTTAAGTTCTCCTCCTAAGTCCTACAAAGAGAAAAACCTGCAATAATTGATGTGATTCCAGTGCCATAGTGTCGTGGTGATTGAAACATGTGACTTCAGAGCTGCGTCCCTTGTCAGTTTGTGTTAATGTCCAGGCAGAAAAGTGCTGGTTGGTGCCCACATTGGAACCACAGAGATGCCAAAGAATGTTGAGTGTGTGTGTGTGTGTGTGTGTGTGTGTGTGTGTGTGTGTGTGTTTCTCCGTGTGTCCTCAACCCTGGGTCATAGTCAGAAACCTATTCAGCCTCCGAAAAACAGGAACCAACCTGGAAGACATGACACATGAGCTTGAATTCATGGGAGCCATTCCCTTTTTTCCTTACCCTCAACCATGCTGCAAAATACATGGACTGATTTTACATACCCATATGGAATGGAGTCTTGACACAGAGCATACTGGGGGAGATACAGTTGTTGTACACAAGCAACATGACATCAGGTAGCAAGGAGTCCTATCTTGCATCCTATTTAAACTTACTATGCAAGAGGCTTTTTGTAGATTCATTTGCATCTCTTCTTCCCCAATGTGTTCTGGAATTCTAAAATTGAACTCAAAGGGTCTCAAACAGGTATTGAGCCTACAATCACTAAACCTGTTAAGAGAATTCCCTATGACAGTTTATTTTTGTAAAAGCCATGCCATGAGCAAGCTGCAAACCAATTACTCAGGCTACATTCCTAGGAAAAAAGCTCTCTTAACTGCTTTGCCCACAGTCTGCTGGCTCTTAATTACCACAAGCTAAGAGACGGGTGTATTGCTGGATTAGAAAGAATGAGTCCCCAGCTTGGGGCTTGTCCTTACCCGATTTCTGTGCCAGAGCAGGGATGATGGTTTTCACAGCATTGCTGGCTTACTCTGGCAACTGCTGTGCAAAATTTGGGGGATACCAGCCAAGGTCTGTGTTGCCAATAAAGCCTTGCTAACATCTGTGGTCAGCGGGAGCTCTGTACAGGTGGGTTAAAGCTGTTTCCCTTTCCCAGTTTGAATTTTGATGATGTCCTGCCAGAGAGACAGATGACTATGGAATTTTTCTGGTGAGGTCAGAGGTGATCCATGGGGATGCTATATGTCATGGTTCCAGAAAGCCACTCCCATAGTGACAGGTGGGGTCCATTAGGTAGGCTATGTGCATAACAAGATGCACACACTGATTGTGCCTGGGCTGTGCTGGACTCACATGTGTCATAAACTCTGTGATACACAGTCTTAACCCAGGACCGCAGTTTTTATTTTCTCCCAGAGGCTTCTGACATTGTTGGCTTGTTCATGTGACTGACAGCTTCTTTTTGCCCTCAGACCTTTTTTTTTTTTTTTAAGGTTTTCAATAATTAAGTAGTTGGGTTTTTATTAGAACAGAAGGACTTATCTTTTTGATCTTGTTTCCCCTTCTGGGTAGCCTCTATAGCTTGCTCTTAACAAGCAATTTCACCTACTAGATTTTGCTTAAATGCTGAATTTATGGTTTATATACTCCTTGGGGATAATGGTAGTGTCTTAATAAAATTGTATTAATTTGATAACTTGGACTTCTATAGCATCAGGAATTTTTCTGCCAAATGGGAGAGACAATAATAAGACATATTTGCTGTCAGGTTTTAGACCTCAGTGGGAAACTGATTCTGTGGCCCAATTTAATCATCATGACCAGAAAATTATTTAACTGAAACTGTTGGTCTAAATGTGTGAGAATTTAAAGCTCTAAATATCACATGTAACCCTGAGTTTTAAATTAATGCTCACCTGTGTTTCCTCACTAGCTCTTTCCAACTATTTCTTCTCCTCCTTCCTCCATATGTCCATTTTTCCACCCATCATCTATCCCTTCATATATCCATATATTCATCTTTCGTATCTCCATCCATTTATTCAGCAAATTATTATTAAGAATCTATCAAGTGTCTGGGTTGTTGTGAGACACTGGAAATTTTGAAATAAGTAAGGTCATCCTGGTACCTTCTTCTTGGAGCTAACAAATGATTTATTGACTGCTCCTATCAAAAAAGGGTTCATTGTTTTATCCATTTGTTACATCAGAAAGTATTTATTGAGTATCTTCTATGGGCCAGAACTAGTGCTTGTATATAACAGAAACTATACAGAAAACACTCCTGCTTTCATGGAACTGAGGACAGACAATAACCACATTGACAGGTCATAAAAAGACCCAAGATTGAGTTAGATGCTGTGATTGAATTTTAGAATTCTTCTGAGTTCCCCAGCAACCTGAGCAACATAGGAAATCACATTATTTGCTTAGCTATGATGGTCAGAGCAAGGAAACATAGCATAGTCACTAAGGAGCCAACATTTCCCAGTTATTAAAAACTGTCACACCAAGTTTTCACATAGGGGGCACTGAAAGGTGGGCAAGGCAGTCTTTACAACCCCCTCTTTGTAGCAGATGCAGCACACAGAAAGACAGCAACGTTGACAGCTTTCTGTTCCCTTGTCCTCTGTTCGTGTCCCCTGGGAGGAATGCTATGGACATTGCTAACATCTATTCATTTAAAAGGTTTGATAGAAAGATCTCTTAGGCAATGTGCTCAGTGAATGACCTGGCCTGAATGATCCAAGCTTAGGGATGCTGCCTCTTGCTCAAACTCTCAGTTGTCTCAGTACTTAATGCCACTTGTGCAACAACAAGGTCAATGGTACAACCTACCAAAGATCCCCCACCTGACTGGAAGAAGAAGGAGGGTTATTTAAGCAGGTCTCCTCACCACTCACCTCTTACAGCTGCTCACACTCTCAACCCCTTGGAACTCTAGAAAATAAACTCTAGAAAATAGTCTAGAAAATAGACTTCACTGTTATAGTTGATTCCTCTACAGTCTTCAGTGGGAACGGAAATACATTTTATAGCCAATGGATACCTTCCTTTTCTTAATAATGAACTCATCTCAACTGCCATTTTGGAAGAAATAAGTTGACCTAGCCCCATAAATGGTAAAAGAAAGAGACAAAAGGAAGGACCCACCTCTGCTTTGGTTTATCTTCATACAACCTTTAATGACATTGGCCTAATATCTCATCTGCACTTGGAATTTTCCCTGTTGTCCATGTAAATCTCTGCAGTGGCCTTCAGTCTTGGCAGATAAGTGAACTGTAAATAATTTTGCTTTAAAATGGATCGATTTGTCATTTTTAAGCCACATGAATTCTTTTCATCATTTAAGCTCCTAAGTGCTGTCTGTATTCATTTGCTTCTCTGAGCAAATATTTTCAGCTCACTTTATAAGCACCTCCATTTTGAAATCATTCTGTGCAATACCGATGAGCTGATTTCTCCCCCCGCCAACCCCTGCCATTTCCATTAAAAAAAAAAACCATTGTGTCTTACTGAATTCCTTGGGCAGCCAGTAGAAAGAGAATCATGTTTTAGGGATGTTGGTAGTTTTATTTTAAAAGGTCTTAAGGCACAAGTTCATGGCTAGTGTGTGGTTAAGGACTTGTAAGGACTTGTATGGAGCTTTCAAAATTAAGTCCATTTCTTTCTTCATCATTGGCACTGATTTGATATTTACAAATAAAAATCTTGTTTCAAAAATACCACAATAAGTGTTACAACTCTTAGATTTTGTCTAGCAGGTTCTCCGGCCCTCACTAGAAGAACCAAAAACAAATGAACCAAAAAAAAAAAAAAAAGTGGTGATGACAGATAATGCTGGAAATATCCACTTCAATATGGGATGCCTTTCCAGCTAATTCCTGAAGCAGAGACCTGGGGGGGTGGATATCTATGTTTCTGAGATCTACTCCTCCCCCTTACCACTAGTTCATCTGTGCAATATCTATTGAGTTTGGGACCAAAATGTCTTTTGACAGCATTCATATTTGTCCTTTGTCACTACTCCCCAAGTCTCAGCCACCTTGGACCCCACACATGTACACACAAGAACCTCCTGGGTAGCTAGCTGCTTTCACGCCTCCCTACTCATGTTCCCAGATAGCAGCCAACTCTCTGGAAATCAGTTGACTCCTGGCATATCCCTGCTTTAAATTCACTGATGATTTTTCCTCCCATGAAATAAAATTGAAACCCAAATTCTTTAACTAGTGCACAAGACCCTTGCCTTATTTGGTCTGTTCACTGAGACCAACCGTTTCCTTGTTGTCTTGCTAGGTTTCCGTCTGTTGTTCACACAGCCTAATCGCCTGTTTGCTTCTTCATATCACCTATCAAAGGACATTGCAGTAGTTTATCAGCATGTTATCATTATTTGGTTATTATCCATCTACACCTCTACATACACACATATGCTTAGATGCATTCTCTGATAAATTCTAAGCATTCAGGTAACTTCTTTCTTAATAATACATTATACATCTCATAATCTGACTCACATAGTTACTCAGTATGTGCTTATTGGGTGAGTTAATCAATAAGTTGCAGGAGTTACGCAGGAGAGTACAGTCTGGATGCTCTGTCAGTGGTGCAGTAGGTATGTCCTCTGGCCATGTCCTTAGATAGCATACATTACTTTAACAGACGTGAAAGTCTTTTTTACTATAGATACCAGCCTTCAGGCTACATTCTTACCTAGAAATATGAGGCAAAAGACAAAATCAAATTAGATGCAAATATGATCCTGTGCTAGAACTAGTTTAGAAGTGAATTTGTTCTCATGCCCAAATCTTTGGGGAAGTATTTCAGACTGCTGAAGAGATGTACAAGTTGACTTTAGTTTAAGTGAGATATATATATATACACACACACACAGGACTTTTCTCCTGGACATTTCTAGGCTTTAACCAAATAAAAGACAATGGCAGAGCTAGTTAGCATGTTCACAGAAAATAAAAAGGCACATTTTGAACTTTTCAAAACACACACAGAGCATAGCTAGGAAAACCCAGAGTGCCACCAATATAGTAAATATGGAGTTCATCTCAAATTAAGTAGTCCTCATAACTGACCTTGGGAAGAAATATGAAGTTAAGTCTTATCGGGGGCAAATCCAAAAAGCTTCCAAATTAAAGTGCTTTTAGCCCATTCTTGTAGGTTCTAATGTGCCATATAGTGATTGTTCAGCGGTGGCATAATTTCTAGCATAGTCTCAGTCTGCTGCTTTACTATTATCTTCCATATTTAGGAAAGATTAGGTGATTTTAAAAGGGATGCAGAAGTACAGTATGATTGAAAGGCAGTTTTGCAAACTCATTCCAGATTGTATCTGTCATTTTGTGTTACACTGGACCTCTGTGAGTCATTTATTAGGGAGGTGAGAAAAGGTGTTAAAATTTAAAAAGTAGCCTAAACCATTTCTTGTAGACTTTGCACACTCTGGTTATGGCAGAGCCATCTCTTCAGTAAAACTAAAGCTTTCTAAGTCCTCATGTCAGAGATCTGTTAACATAGCCATGAAGGTGTCTCAGAAACTAACAAGGTGACACAGGATCTGCGTGCCTGCATTTGTGAGTATGTGTGCAAAGCATGTGTGCTTTTAATGCAGAAGAAAGGCTTTGTCCTTTGATCAACCTCTCTCATTGGGGCAGGGTGGCAAGAAAATAATTGTCTCCAGTTTAGGAAGAGAGAATAAGGGAGAAAGTTAAAACGGACTTCCAGGGACTCCAGAACAACTTCAAGTTCAGTCAACCTGCAGTGAGACTCAATCTGGGGGTCTTAAGACCTTGTGAAGAGCAAGCTCAAGGGGAAGGAGGCTAGAACTTCAAGGGTGAGAGACTGACTTTAACTGTGAAATAAATTTAGTGTCCGTGGACTGACCCCACAATCTGGATGTGCTACTCACACAGTAGAGAGTGTATTTGAAGGAGGGCTGTAACTCTCAGGGTAAACTCAGACATACTTTCTATTGCATGATTTGCTTTTCACTTAAAATATCTGCTCCCCCCACCAAGAGGTGAACAAAGCCAAAATGCTACCAAAATGCTACCAAAATGTAAAAAAAAAAAAAAAAAAAAAAGGACGTAACATTTCCCCATTAATTTTACTTACCAAGATCCATTTGAAAGTGAAGAGCTTTAAATTTTTTCTTGATTAAAAAGAATTCCTTGTGTATTATAAAAATAAAAAGTAAGCAATACTGGAAAATACAAAGATATGGGGAGAAGAAAATCCTCCCTGAATCCCACTATTTTTTCATTTTATGCTAGCATGTGTTCACACCAAAAATGAACCGTTGCTACACATGCTCATTTATAGTTGAGAAGCACAATGAAGAGAAAAGCAAATTCCGGTGCACCTGCCAAAGAGAATGGGGATCGTATCTGTCATGAACATTTGCTGACTGAAAAGCTTCAGCATGTCTCCAGGGAGGGGGGAGCAAAAAGGTAAATGTATTGACCTTCTGGAAGCAGAAACTGGATACATGAGCCTGAGAACCAAATTTGCTGTTGGGTGACATTACTGGAAATCGGCAGAACCAGGTTCTGCTGTGCAGAGCTGAGCTGAGCCCTTTGTCCTGGAAAGAGAATGGTGGTAATATGGGGTAGTGATGTTTGTCACCCTCTTCTTCCCCCAAATATTGCTGTTTTCCAGGAAATCTCCTTCAGTCTGCTTGAAGTAAACCTTCCACACAGTTGTACCAAGACTTCTTTCCAATTTAGACTATAGTAATCAGAGTTCTCTGAAGGCACACCAAGTATCATTTTAAATGGTCTATCTTCATTAAATAAATGCCCAGTTTTCCTCAACTTTGAATTCTATCAAAACCCATGTTCAGGATCTTTGATCTGTAAATTGTTAAGGGCAAATAAAATTTTTGTCATCTTCAGGCTTGCTTCAGATACTTACTTCAAGACAAGAACTAAAGGAAAGGGAATAGAGGGACCTGGCAATTAAATTGAAGGGCCCTTGGAAAATTTCATCAGGATGGGGAATGAAAGATAAAGAATACCTAGCAAGAGAATGAGGAAGAGAGCCATGATCGGGTTGACTGCAGAATGGTGGAAAAATTTGATGCTGTAAAGAACTGTTAGGGGACTGGGGTGCCCTAGGTCAAAAATCTTATAAACTACTTAAAAATTAAAAGCTCTACAGGAGCCATGGGAGAGAGGTGCTGCTTCCTGTCCTCCACCTCTTTACAGTACTCTTAGCAGATAAATAAAGGGGTGTGGTGTCTCCCAGTCAAGCGGCAAGATTCTAGGGGTTTTATTTTGAATGGGGGAACTAAACATCTGGGCCTACCACATCTTTTATTGGAAAAAATAAGAACTGAAATTACTTTGTTTCCCACCTGGCATTTTTCCTCCCACTCGGTTTTACTCTCCATTCAACCACCATTCAAACAAAGAGCATTTCATAAATTGGGAGCTTTTTTGCTTATCAGGTTTTAAGAACAGGAACCTGCTTATTCTACTGAAATTTAAATGAAACTCTTTCCCTTTGAAATCTACTTGGATTTTGGACCAGTTGCAATTTTAAGAAGACTGACCCCTGAGGTCAACCCATATGTAAAATTTGATCTTGGTTTTCAACCTACAGTAATGTCAAGAGATCAAGAGGTGAAATGTGATGCCTGAGAAATTGATTAGCTGAGAATTATGAAAGCTCTTCTCATAAGAGTTATTATATATTTGTAAATGCAAGTGCACATATAAAGCTAAGTATGATTTTTAAAATACCTGGTCCCTTTTATTATTGTCTAGAAGAACTGATAGCAAACCTTTAGATGGTAGTTGGGTGCTTCATTATTTATTACAACTGAAAGATACAAGATGTGGAATCCCAAGATGCATGTCTATCCTGATTACATCTCTTTGGGACATTTACATTTAAACCACTCATTTTGTGTCACATGTTTTGTCCAAAAATGAGGATGTTAGAACTGATATACCTTGTAATAAATGAGCCAGTGTTTTAGCCAAGAACCCATGATGAAAATTGGATTTGTTTTCCACTACAGCCCAGAGAGCAGCGTGGTTTGTGATTATTCTTTCCATCTGGCCCACCCCTCTCTCTGTCTGCCAATCACCTGGGGATTTATCTGCATTCAGTATTAGCTGGAGAAAGGAGGAAGCCAAAATGTTGATATATTTATGTATGTGTGCACAGAAGTGCTGAACAAAGACAAACTGATGGAAAACACCCACTCGGAGAACCAATAATAATCTTCTCTTCTTGCCTTTCTCACTTGCTTACTTTCAGCAACCACTGGAAAGAAAAGACAGCCAGAACAGTTCTCAGCACAGCGTTTCCAGCCACCGAAGCCTGCACACAGCCTCCCCAAGCCACAACACACAGGTGCTCCCCGAGTACCCACCTGCAGAGGCCCCTGCTCCAGATCAGACCGACAGCTCTGGGCAGAAAAAACCAGATCCTTTTAAAATCTGGGCCCAGTCCAGGAGCATGTATGAAAACCGACGTGAGTAGCATCCTGACTCCTGTCTTCCTGAGACCCCTCCCAAGCCCCCACCCCACTTTCTCTTGAGGCTTATTGAAAATAGATTGTCAGCCTGTAAATAAGTAGAAGTAAATCAAGGTGAAAGGTGAAAGTTTCTCAGAGCATGGATAGAATCTGCTGGATAGTCACAGAGGCTTCATTATTATCTTCCGTTTGGGGAGGCATGGATATGATGGTCATCAAATAGGGGTCTGGAAAAAATTGGACTTATTTTTCCTTTCAATTAAAAGAAGTAGCAGATAAGAGCTGCTGTCTCATTAATTCTTCCCTGAGTGGAGAGTGTGGCATGTTCTGAGCTTATACCTTGTGAAAGGCTCTGATACACAACAGAACAAAATACGATTGAATTGCAGAAGTGATGAGAAGAAATTAAATGCCCTCAGTGCTCTGCTGGTTTTTAGACTACTGATTTTTTTTCACCATTATCAGTCTTTGTAAACATTCCCCTTACCAAAAGCAACAAAACTGTGATTGGCTTATACTTTAATTATTTATACTGTGATTAAGTATGTTCCTTTGGCTTTACCTTTTCAATATATATGAAGTAGTGATGGCAGACTTCTTGACTTCTTGGCCCTTATAAACCTAAGATTGCCTTCATGTTTAATGTTTTTTTATTATGAGATGATTTTCAAAGACTATTCATGAATAAAATTCCCCATAAATAACATTTTAAAATTCCCCATAAATAACATTTTACCATTACCAATGGAGGTCCCCCAAAATGCTTTCATCTTAGGTGATGCAAATAAGACCCTATTTTGGCTATTGCTATTACTGACACTTTCCCATGAGGATGCTTGGTTAGAATAAGCCCACGATGAAGTTCATACATTTCATTTTGTCCTTTTGGTGCGGAATGGGAAAGAATGTTGAATGAGGGAAGAGTCCCAGTGTGGTCAAAGATCTGACTAAACTGAAGAAAGAAGAGAAGCCTTTGCCCATCCCCTTTGTCCTTGCCCCCTCAGCACAGGTTTCCTTTGTAGCCACAACTGTAGTAGCCTCAGCCCGTCCGGAGTCCAAGCATGGAGGTGGTAGGAGCAGTGCCCACCCACTCTGACTTGGCTCTGAAGCATTTCCTTTGCTGGCTAAAGCAATCCCTCTGTGACCCAAACAAAACAGGGGTGTGAGGCCAGGATCCCTGTCTGAGAAGGAAAGTTGGCTGCACTACTGTACTGCTGCATGAGAAGCAGCAGTTAAGGGACATATGACAGTCTGGAGTCTTGGTCTTTACCAGGTATTAGAAGCCACTCAGGCCTTCCTCTCTCCTTTTTCTCTTCCAGGGAGAAATAGCACTGCTTCTTACTACAGCATGTGGAATTAAATAAGCTGTTTGGCTAAGGGTTCATACACTGACAAAAGCCAGATAATATGGGAAGGGATTTATTGAGTCCCTGTTTGCCTGACTCAAGGTCAAAGGAAATAAGGTTCCATTTGGTACATCCCTTATAAGCAGTAGTTGCTAAGTATGAACCTAGGGTCTGTTCCCACTGTATTCTCATGAGTTGTAGTGATTTTATTGAAGAAATGTTTTCTAAAGAGGAATATTTTCACATTCCCTTCACATTTCTCTCTAACCATGTGGCTTTTCCAATCAATGACCCAGCTTCATTTGATGTTGAGATATTACTTTATTGAACATGCTCCTGCTTTTCTCAATACAGGACACATTTATGATTGAGTTTTCCATGTAGGAATCTTCTTGTATAAAATAAACTGTGTTCTCAAGCGCTGGTGGGGGCATCTAGGATTGATAGAAAATTCTAGTGTTTCCATTTAATAGGAGCCTCCAGCTCAAATAACAGTTTTACCTTGATGGAACAAAATTTCTTAAGAATTTGGCATTTTATCCAATCTTTTAACAAGTTTTCATCAGGGACCTCCCTTGTGGCCTAGGGGTTATGTCTCAGCTGTATCGCCACTGCAGCCTGAGTTCCATCCCTGGCCAGGGAGCTGACCCACCTGACACAACAGACCTCTCCTGACTCACCCACTGCTTCCCCTCAGCAGTGTATTTCAGTCAATCTGCCTGTTCTGCTCCCCACTCTGTCTCTGGTGAATCCTCTCACCCCTCTGCACCTCTGGCCTACACCCCATTTCTTCTATGCATAAATAAATAAATCTTTTGAAAAAATTATTAGGGAAAAAAAAGATCTGTAATCTTGCCACAGACAACTGCTTTCAGCATCGAAATTGTTCAAGTGGCAGTCAGACTGTGGTGTTTGGAAAGGTGCGAATTTTATGCCTTCAACATCTAAGGAATAGGATCTAGCAGCACAAATGAGTATCAATTTCTTTTCAGTGATTGGAAACTTTCTGATTGAGTGATCTTAGCAACCTAATTGACAATAAGGTTCACTTGGATTTCCTCCTCACCACTAAATGACGATAATGATATGACTTTTCATCCCAGTGATAATTATTCGGTATCTGTCACCGATTTTCTTCCTTCACTCTACCTTGGAATGAACCTAGATCAATCTTATTTTAATCAGTACTTTGCTTTATCCCAGATCAGTTTCTGTCATTCCCTTAGGTTGTTTTTTTTTTTTCCCTCTTGTCTTTTGAAAAAAGAAAAATACAGCCCATGGTCCTGTTAGATGGGATTGGCTGCCCTTCCCCCAAGACTTATTAAAATGAGCAAAGTAGGGCCTCCCTGGTGGCGCAGGCGGTAGAGCAGAGCACTGTGAAGCTGTCCGCAGCCTCTGCAGTGCCAGTTCGATCCCGGCCGGCCTGTGAGAATTCCACATGGCGCAGCAGACCTCTCCTGTCTCGCCTGCTGCTCCCCTAAGCAGTGTATTTCGTCAGTCTGCCTGTTCTGATCCCTGCTCTCTCTCCGGTGAACCCTCTTACCCTCCCATGCATCTGGCCTGTACCCCGGTTCTTGTATAAAAAATAAAATAAAATAAAATGTTCAAAGTATTCAAGGAAAATTGAAGTCAGCAATGACACCTTAATTGTACCATATATTATCCCCTCTGTTCTGGAAATATGTTTTTCTTACATTTCCTTTTATTGTGAAGGCCAATGTGAAAATTAACACAATCTCTGATCAAATTCCTTCACACAGCCTAAATGCTTTGCAAAATATGATATTCTTGATATGGCCATCTGTTGAAACAGCAGTGTCAAAATGAATCAACCTGAATTGCAGATGTGTTAATAAATCCCTTTGAAAGGCTTAGTGTTTAATTGAAAACAAAGACAACCATAGAAATCCTTTAAGAGCTATGTTGCCTGCTTTCTAGGTACTGATTGTGTGTGCCTTTAAAAATGACATAGATGCAATCTTATTAGTAACTGTTCAAGAAGAGCAACTAGTTTCCAATAGTGTGAACTACAAAAGAAAGTCTAAAGCTTGCAGTTGCAATTTTGCCTCTTCACAAAATAGTTTGAAAAGAAGAAATGCCAAAGCTGTCATAGTAACAAACATTATGCACCTGTCCTGCCTCCTCAGGAGAGACGGGCTTACAAATTTGGAATTGGTGAATGGGCTTCTTTATCATAGTGAGTTTAAGGAGCATAGCTATACTTCTAGACCCTAAGAGCTATTGTGATAATTCTTGTTTGTGTGTTGATTCAGATCTTGACCAGATTTGACGATTTGTGTCTCTAAACTGCCTAGAATTCATTTGAACAGGCAGTAGCACAAAAATGAATTCCATCAAGAATCTGCTCCCCTTTTAAATAAGTGTTATAATGTGGCAGTGACAAAAAGTATACTTAATTTTTTTTTTCCAAAAGAAAATGAGGGTTTCGACAAACCTAAAGTTCATGACATGATTAAAACAAGGTCATACGAAAATGCATGCTTTAAGGTATAATTAAATAATGAAGACTTTAAGATGGTAATGGTAGTTCTGTGAAAATCCTCAATGGCACAATTGTAAATTCTAACTTTTTGACAAGAAAAGCACCATGAAAAAATGGAGAAAAAACCAGAATCAAACTACAGTCTTTTAAAATCCACAGCAGCCATGACCTTTACTGTGAAAGCTTAACTGCACGTTCCTTATCAATCAAAACGAAATTAAAATGAACTAAGAGAAAGCACATACATTAAGCTTTGCAAAATTGTGAAATTAATATTCCAGCTATGTCACCTTCGCCTGCATCGGGATTGAGCAAGGGTGAAAGAGAGAGAGAAATCAATTCCTCGAATTTTGGAGAATGTCAGAGTAAGGATCTGCTGAAAACTTTTATTTCTCCATTATTATTCATCCTGTTTGATGTTCTCATTGGTCGGGGGTGCTGGGCAGAAACTCAGAAAAGGGAGGGAAGAAAGCAAAAGGCCATGAAGGAGTGTTTTGGTGGGCTCATTGACCAACATAGAAGAGCAAAGATGAGATGAAATCAAAAGTGCGGGCATGCTTCAGCTGTCTGAAAATGTGTTGTGTGTCTGTAGTAATGGAGACACCAGGGGGTGTCTCTGCAGACCTGGTGATTCCATTCTTCCTAATTATCAAAGGAAGTCTTTTGACTGCTTTATTGTGTTGTCCCTGGTGTTACCAAAGGAGATTAACTGCTGAGATTGTCCCCTATGCAAGGGCTTAAAAATGAAGGAAACTGCACAAGAATTTCTTAGCTCTTTTTGATTTAACCTCAAAAAAATTAAAAAAAGGATATTAATATCAGAAAGATGGTTCTATCCTGCTGTCTCCTAAAAACTGAATTCTGATAAAATCTGCCAGAAATAAAATAAAGAATAAATCGTTTTAGGGACTAGTTTAGAAAACCTCAGTGCACCTGGGAAGAAATGGCAGCAGGGAGCATGATTCTGTAATGCTCCAGGATTGATTTATCACTGAAGTTATATATTTGGGTACCTGGCATTTGTTTGGTAGACAAGTTTAATTGCCAAAATGCCTCACAAAGGGCCAAAAGACTTCCTCTGTAACATGTCTGTGTATTGGTGTATCATGTTTGTGTTTGTGTTTTCTTGGCTCATCATTTGCATCTTCAACATTCTTGGTATCATGGGACAGCTCCTTTTTCAACAAGTGTCTTAAAATAAATTTGCCATTTTCCCATTGATTCTTACAGAGAAACACATGTGTTTTTCCCTATGAACTAAACTGTATGATAAGCCAAAATCTGTGGCCACAACCACCAATATAATAGCTTATACCAAAATGAGCATTATAAGGCAGAAACTTGCCACATTCGGTGCCACTGGAGAATGGGCAAATGTTTTTGTGTTAAATGATGCTGAGAAAAGTAAGTCTGGACTTGAGGTCTCTGCAGAAACCCTTTCTTTGTTCACAGAATGCCTCAGCTGACTTAAGACAGATTCTGCCAGAAATCTAGTGCTAGCTACAAAGCACCTGTGGTCTATTTTGGTAATAATTCTCCTGCTTGAGTGAACCCAAGACAGAGACCCAACTTGATTTAATTTGTTGTTTCAATGAGGCTATTACAGCAAATACCCTGTAGCCAGCTACTGGAACAAAAAGAAAATATTGTTACCTTTCCGTGGTTGAGAAAATATCATTCTCAAATTGTTTATGAACATCATACTATGTAGCTTATACCTCAGTGTTCCATGGACCCCTGAAACTTAGCCTCAGCAATTATAATTTAAAAAAAAAAAAAGCATTGGATAAAAAGTACCATTGAAGCCGGTAGCATTAAGATAGCTTAAGCAAAAATATTGGAGTCGGACTCCTCTGATGTGTACTTACCTGTTCGTTCAGTATCTTTTCTCCTGGCATAGTCAATCATTGTACATTTTAAGCTTGCTGGCAAGTCACTAAAAAGGACCTCTCTTGCCATCTTGAAACATAAATAACTGCCGCCTTCTTCTGTACCCCACTGTACAAAATTGGAAAAGATGAGGATTAATGTCTCAGGCCTATACAATCCCTCAGCCTAAAATCCAATTAATTAAATAAACCAGAAAGTATGCAGAACAAGTTAAAGTCTCCTTCAGGATGCATGGCCACTGAACTGTATTTTCTCTCTCGTATAAAAAATACAATTTGTAGACCATGAAACATACTGTGTATATATTAAAATATTAAATAAGAATGAGGTAGAAATGATAACCCTTTTTTATTACCTAAGTTAAGTAACAGTACTATGTAAAATAATTTCATATCCAGAAAGCCTTTTTTCAGGGAAATTTATTTTTTAAAAAATGAGATTTTCATTTGAAAACCCTGGACCATTACTGAATTTTAAAAGTAAAATAGCAAGTTAGTAGGTTATTATTACTTATAACATTGAAATTCTTTAGGTAAATAATGAAGCAAAGCAGTTAGTCATTTTAATGATGAAATGTAATTCATTGATAGAGAACTTTTTGTTGTCACTGATCTTAAGGGTATGGAAGCTGGCTACTTTCTGGTAGTTGTTCTGCAATCATAGCAAACTTTGTAAATCTGGAAAAAAAATGGAATATTTGGTAGTAACTTTTTTGGCAAAGATGATCTAACATCAAATTTTTGGCTTTGCTAATCTTGATTACTTTAAGGGAAAAAGAAGTGATTTTTTTTTTAAATTGGAAAGTCTTTTTAATCCAGCCTGTTTTCTTTCATCCTCTACTTGGCATAATACTTAAAAGGACTTCTAAATCCTAAGAGACAGCCTTTGCTTAGAGGACTCTGACTTAGCACAAGTGCTTTTCTCCATGTGGGAACCAGTCTGTGGTGCAACACATGATAGTTATAATTTCCCAAATTTCCCTTGCACAATTCCAAGGAGAGTGGTTAGTGCAGGCTTCTGGCTTATCAGGGATATGGCTTGGGCTTGGTTGGGAATTATCAGTGATTAGACTTTTGAAAAAACTTAGGGCTCAGTGACTCATCCCGCTCATTACTTTTGCCCAGTGTTCTCTTGTGTTATCTATCCACATCATCATTTTGTTTCCATGTCTGTGTTGGAAATTGTTGTCTGCTCAAGCACCATCAGTGTTAGGCCTCAGTGTTCATTTTGTGAGCATAATTTCTTTTATCAAAGATATAATCTCTCTCCTCTTTCCTCTCTCTGCAGTTCCAGATTACCAAGAACAGGATATCTTCCTCTGGAGAAAAGAAACTGGATTTGGATTTAGGATTCTAGGTGGAAATGAGCCAGGGGAACCTGTGAGTCTCTTGTTTACCTCATCTCCTCCTCCTCTAAGTACCCCCCTCCCTCCTGTTTTCTAAGACTTAAAGCAAATTAGCAGCAGTGACAAATCTGCTAGAATTGAGTCAAGTGCACCAGTTGCTGTTGCATCTCAAACAGTGAGAGTTATTCACTGCATTTTATGGCGATCCCCATCAAAGAAATCATAGCCTGATCTAAAAAAACAATAGCCTGATCTCTCTAACCAGTTTTGCTCAGTCTGCTAGCAGGTATATGCCTTGCTAGTAAGTGCATAGAGAGCACTCCACAGATACAGGAAGGGATTAGAGCAAGTGGGGCCACTGTCTTTACAAAAGTAAAGAAAGAAATCTGAACGGGGTCAAGAAATATTTAACCTCCTTCAACCTCAGTTTCCTCATCTTGAGAATAAGTTTTAGCGTAACATAAAGGATTCTTTGGAAAAGAGAAAATAGAGCTAAACTTCATTGTTAATTTTCCCATAATAATAATGCTAGCTCTTATTTATTGACCACTTACTATGTTCCAGGCACTATGCTGATTTTTAACATACCTTTTTTCATTTATCCATCAAATCCATGAATGTATACCCGGTTTTCAAATTGTAAAATAAAGACACAAAATGGTTAAGTACCTTGCCTAAGATAACAGCATTAGTAAATGGAGGGACTGGAGTTTGATTCTAGAGCCCGTGTTCTTAACCATTCATTTATTAACATTCTTTGAGGTGTTATTATCTACTGAAAAGGCAAGGAAAGCACTAATATTTTAGGTAAAGTTTAATGAATGGTAAATATAACAGTAAGACTCTAAAGACTGCTCAGCATGCAGATTCTAAAGGTATGAAGATGTCAGCACAGACACTGACTGATCCATGTCTTCATTTAAAAATATTTCCTGTGCATTTTCTTTTACCAGGCACAGTGTTGGACCTATAAAGGAAGTAGTATTATCACTATTGTAATTAGCAGAGTTTTGAAAGGAGGGTTCTCAGATAGAAAAGGAGAAAAGATTTTGAAAATAAAGAGATTAAAAATGACTTGTTCCTGCAAGGAGAAAAAGAGTGAATCATCAGACCACAGATAAACATCTTGGAACAAACAAGAAATAATCACTTTTCTACCACTTAAAAATTGTTCTATCTTCTGGCACAATGCTTCATACCCAGTGGGTGCTCAATAAATGTCTGTGGCATGAATGAATGAATGCATGAATTGAATGAATTGAACCATTCTGAAGGATGTGAATGCTGTCAGTGTAATAGTAAACAGGAAGGTCAATATTTCATTCATCATCCAATTACTCCACAGATTTATATCGGTCACATTGTACCATTGGGTGCTGCTGATACGGATGGCCGCCTGAGATCTGGGGATGAATTAATCTGTGTGGATGGGACACCAGTAATTGGAAAATCACACCAGCTTGTGGTCCAGCTTATGCAACAAGCCGCCAAGCAAGGCCACGTCAATCTCACAGTGCGGCGTAAAGTGGTGTTTGCCGGTATGTTTTTCATTCATTGCTTCAGACAGTGCACTGTCACTTTATGCACAGAAAAGGCCCTTTCCTGTGTCTGCCTCCTCAAGCATCTATTTTAACAAATGTTTGCAAATGTGATCAAGCTCAGAATTTCCAGATGGTTTGCTTCTCTCAAACCCCGCAAGACTATACTGTCAGTCAAAAATACTTAAATGTGCCATTTGTGCATGTTCAGCAAAGGCTTCTAGAAAAGGGCTGGTTGGATACATGTTACCTCCCCCATCCCCTTGCCAACCAGGATTTAGTCATGCTCTTCATTTGATGGTACTTCTCACCAGAAGAGGTTATTATGATGATCAAGAGAATTATAGCATCAAATTAAAAGAACAAAAATTAGGTTTGTGCTGCAAAATAAAAAAGGCCCATAAAAAAGTTACTTTGTTGTTGATGGCCATACATATTAAACTGGGATTTTTTTTTTTTTTCCCGCTATAAGAAAGTTGTCCAGCCGACTAGGGCCAGGTCATCTTTGATTCTTTCCTTTTCCCTGCAAGCTTCAAAGTACTTGAATTCTCAAAATACCACATATCTTCTTAGGCCCAGAACAAATATAACTTCTTCTGTGAAACCCTTGGAAATTCCTTCTTCCAATTGCCTTTAGATTTTAGCATCTCTTCCTTGCCATCTTGTGAGTCATGGTTTATTTCTCTATCAGAATCTGCCATTTTTAGATAGCTCATGGTGTGAGTATCTGTCCTTTCCATCTATCCACCAGCCCCCTGAAGGCACACATGTGGGTCCTTCATCTTTATCTGCAATCCCCACCTCAAGGTATTCAGGACAGACCTAGAGGGCAGAAGAGGCAGTTTAAGTGTGTATCAGTTGAACTACTGAAGATGTGTGGCATGAAATAGGATTTATCCATAAATTTAATATTAGTGAAACAACTTATTAGATAAAATAAGCTGACAGATTATTTTAAAAAACTAGTACAAGTCATTTAAAAAGTATATAATTAATTGCAGAATTAAGATACTACAATGTGAGAGTCCTGTCTATTACAGCTAGGGGGAGAAAGTATTAACAGACCTGGGGTGTATCTTCACAGCTCATTTATGGCCTCAAAATCTTTCTTAAGATAGATGTCCTTCTTTGCAACCAATACCAGTCAGCTAGAAGTGGCTTTTGAGATGAGATGAAAACATTTTGACTTCACTGGCCCAATTAATAATAGTAGAGCATAGGATTTTTGTTTGTTTTAATTTATATTTAAATCTTAAATATTTCAGGTTTTTTAGTTCTGGGTCAAAGGAATATTGCATCTATGAAGACTCATTAGACTAAGTGAACTAATAAGGGTGTCACAAAGAGACAACCTAATGATTCCATTTATATGAGGTATATAGAGTAGTCAAATTTACGGATGCAGAAGATAGACTGATGCTTACAGGGGCTGGGTGGATGGGAAAACTGTAAGTTGGTGTTTATGGGTTACAGAGTTTCAGTTTTTGAAAATGAATAACTTCTGTAGATGGATGGTGGTGATGATGGCACAGGTGTGATTGTACTTTATGCCACTGAATTATGTGCTTTAAAATTATTAAAATGTTGTTATATATATAACCACATTTTTTTTGAACTATGAAGTGAGATACTTTTAAGAATCTTGTCCAAAACCCAAACACGCATTTCACTTTTGGCATGTAACTTAAGATAGTCCACCCAACCACCATCCTCACTCACTGCTCTAGCTGTTCAGGAGCATTTTACCCTAACAGAACAATACTAGAATTTAATAAAACTGTAATTCTCAAAGATACTAATACCACTTGTGTGATCAGAATAGATAACTGACATCTGGAAACTAGGAGGCTAAACTAGTGTACCTCTGGTGTTGTTACTAATCCAACAATATGGTCACCTAAATGGAACAGTCAACTTACAGCATCTTGCCTGATGGAAAAGTCAAAAGTAATGCTGTTTGGAAAACTGAGCAGAAGGAGGACTTAAGGGTAATGACATATAAATATACAGCAAAGGTTTTATCTCTGAGGCAGAGGAGGTGGCAGTCATTTGCGTGGGCATGCCCATACCCCCTGTATGTTTTCCTTTGGTCTGTGCACTGGCAAATATTTCAGATTGGGCTGCTGCTGCAAACTGGAGTCCAGTGTGCTGTATGATAACACAATTGTGTGTCCTTTTGGTGTTTTTACAATTGACCCAAGCCAATAGAGTCTGACTAGTCAATGTTTATCAAGAGAAATTATTTTTTTTAAGATTTATTTTTTTATTTATACAAGAACTGGGGTGCAGACCAGAGGCACGGGAGGGTGAGAGGATTCACCAGAGACAGAGCAGGGAGCAGAACAGGCAGACAGACCAAATACACTGCTGAGGGGAGCAGCGGGCGAGACAGGAGACATCTACGGCGCCATGTGGGTATCTCCCTGGCCGGCTGGGAATCAAACCTGTACTGCAGAGGCTGCGGACACCTTCACATTGTGGCACTCAACCCGCTGCGCCACTGGGGAGGCCCCAGAAGTGATTTTTTGTTCTGATTTAAAGGACTATGTTAGGAAGTTAAAAAGATCTTTCGATCCTTAATTTTTCAAAATTGGTGCAGGCTTTTTTTTCCAACTCTGGACAGTGCTCAGCTGACTTAGTGCCCTGAGGGATTCATTCAGTCAGAACTCCCATGGTTAAGAGAAACTGTTTTCAACTCCTGTATTTCTGTTCTGTGAGGCCAGAGGCCGTCTTAACCTCTGTGATGTTCTTGATACCTTGCACTCTGTGGAGTTTGGGAAGAGCATGGTGTGACAGGGCTTATGTTGTTTATGAAGCTGGGTATTTGAAAGGTGCATTTCTGTGGTGCAGTCCCCAAAACAGACAACGAGATGCCCTCGCCAGCCTCGTCTCATCACAGTAGCAACCAGCCAGCTTCGCTGACCGAGGAGAAGCGCACCCCGCAGGGCAGCCAGAACTCCTTAAACACCGTGAGCTCTGGCAGTGGCAGCACCAGTGGCATCGGCAGCGGTGGGGGCGGGGGCAGTGGCGTGGTGAGCACCGTGGTGCAACCCTACGACGTGGAGATCCGGCGCGGGGAGAATGAAGGTTTTGGCTTCGTCATTGTGTCCTCAGTAAGCCGGCCCGAAGCAGGCACCACTTTCGGTAAGTGTGGACCATTCTTTTCCCGAGTGTTTCAAAGGATGCCGGGGAATGTTCTGTTGTAAGTGAAAGACGCCAAAATCTCATTAACAGAAATGCTTTCATGCTTTTCGCTTCAGGTAATTAAAGTCTTAATTGGGGATGGAGCTTATTTGGTAGATTTCCCTTCCTGAAAATTGGGAATTTTTTTTTTTTTAACTCCAGCTTCCATTCTGAATGCATGTTCAAGTTTTTACAACTTCAAGCATAGGTGAAATTTGCAGAGCAACCCCTTGACTGTATAGAGTGTGAGACATTCTTGTGAGACAGTATTTTGCAAAATCCTAAATAGGATATCGTTTATACCAGTGGCCTCAGAAAGGCTGTTTTTCAAAGACGTATTGGTTGTAAAAATGCCTGAGAAATAATAAAGGTATGTGGAGTAAAAATATTACATGACATGCCCCTTCTACCATGTGTGACCTTTCTCAAAGTTCTATCCCCATCTGAAATTTTTTAACTTGAATTTTAAATAGTAATTTTACTGTTGCCTGGTTAAGAATCTAGTTAAAATCTGAGTTAAGAGCCGTTTTTCTTCTCTACCCTTAAATTCTAGCAGGGGTGACTTATCAAATGTTGGGAGTTTTGGTAGAATATGAAGAAGAAATACATTTGTTACCCCCTCAGAAGGTTAACTTTGCGCTGCCAGAGGCAAAGATGACTCTAGATGATTCCAGGGACTAGTAATATTTGAATCTATTTCCTATTAGAATGGATTAAAATATGTACTCCAAAAATGAGCCATCTTCCACACTGATGTAATGTCATTTGTTACTCCCCCAAAACACTTTTTAATTAGTATGAAATATGATGGGAGACAAGAAAGGGCTAGGCAAGGCTTTGGAATTGACCTCAACTCTAGCCCTAAATGACAGCCACAAGCTTTCTTTAACTTCCTGATCCATAGAATGCCCTTTGCCCACATTTTGTCTCAGTGTAGTACTTCCAGTTAAGATCTTTTCCCCCCATCAAGATTTGTTCATTCGGAGACAATGCATCAGTCAGGTCTATGCAAGTGTGGCTGCAATAACAAATGCCCATTACTAACAGTGCTTTTTGTGAGCTACATTAATAAAGTTATCACTGTTTGTCATGGATGGATGACTTGACATCAAGGCAAGGGTTTTTTTTGGTTTTGATTTTTAAATTAATTTTGGAGACTTTTCTACTTAATTTAAAATAAAAAGATAAGCAGGAGTTGGGGGAAGAACTCTTCAGCTCTGCAATTTGTCCCCCACCCTGTGATGTTTTCAGGATTTCAGAATACTCAGTCACTTTCTAGAATGAAACAGTCAGATGGGAGGCTGTGTGTTATTTAATGGGTATTGGATGTATTCACTCACTTGATCTTTGATTATTTTCCTCTGGCTCTTACATGAACAAATTGAACTTTCTCTAATACCTTGCATGAGACTTCCATTCCAAGCTATGCAGAGCTTTCCTTATACCTGCTGTTTGATATCTTTCTCATGCGAGTTGTTCTTGGAGATGGGCTAAATTTAATCAAGACCTTGAATTTGTGTATGGGAAATTTTCATCACACATGCTTGTTGAATTCCAGAAGGCTGTTTAACTTTTTTTAAAAAATCCTTTTACCTTGATGTTACATCCAATGATACAAATTCAGATAAATATGCTGAAATTCAGAGAAGTTCTGCCTCATTTCCCACACATTTTATCCTTGGGGTTCAAATTACAATGCAAGAGCCTACTCAATTAGTTTCGATGTTTCCTGTGTTAATTTTGTCATCCTTTCCCAAAGGTGGCTCAATGGTATAACTCTCTTTACAGTCCCCAGAAAGACAGATTCTCAGAATAAGTAAATATGCATAAGATTTTAAAACTAAGTATATAATCAGCTAAAAACTATGTCAGGCCTCAAAGCTAATTTTTCCCCTCTCTCTAGAAGTTAGCAATGCACTTGGTAGTAACATGGGGTCTCTCAAAGTACACAGTAAGCCTTTCTCTCCAAAGGCACTTTTCCTGGTTTTTCATATAGTATCGTAACTTATATTGAAAAAAGGAAATAACTAAAGGAAAGGGGTTAAGGAATGATCTGAACCTAGCTTTGGATCATTGTCCTGAGTAGGTATTGCATTTTCATATTCCTTTGAGGGGGATTTTTATCAGGAAGGAGGGTTGCAGAGCTAATGAGCCATTTGGGCCCTGCCCTGAAAGCAGATGAGAGAGGCTGATTGAGCAAAGGTCATAAAAGGAAAAATAGGTGTTGTGGTTGGGAGCTTTTTTGGCTCATATCTTATAATTACAGCCTTTTTCTAAAGCTTTCATCATTCTGGATAGAAGGCAGAAAGTCTAAGTGTTTGTCCATTAGGTGTTTTCAGGTTGAATTTTTGGTGGTAGCAGACTCTTATGCCTCACCAGACGCCCAGTGATTATTTTTCTAAATGGAGAAAGAACAAAACATTGGCAGAAGCTTAAACAACAGCTGACAAAATCGAGGTGACATGAACACAGAATGCATAATAGCATCCATTGCAGTTCTGAGTTTCACATTTGCAGTCCTAAATAAGCAAATGGCAAGTTATTTTGGGGCTTTGAGAATCTTTGAAGTTGCTAAATATCAAAAATTTTGTAATTGATTTAAGGAGGAAAGCTGGGTTTCCCCCACATTTTGAATCAGAAAGGGACCACAGCTGTGAGCTGTGGTGCAGGGCAGTGGCTTCTCACACTGATGCCCTTAATATCGCCAATGTTTTCACCATCGGCACAGAGCTCTCCTTTAATAACATTTGCTTAATGCTTTAATTAATTAACACTTAACCTTCTCTTTCCCTTTTCAACCCTTTTTCTCCTCCTTCACTATGTTCCCACGTAACTTAAAAAATTAAAACTCACTATCAAAGCAGGCAATGCATGTGTGGCTATGCCTCACAAAATAGGTCGGATTATTGAGGGGAGCCCTGCTGACCGATGTGGCAAGCTGAAAGTAGGAGACCGGATCTTGGCAGTAAATGGATGTTCCATCACCAACAAGTCCCATTCAGACATTGTCAACCTAATCAAGGAAGCAGGAAACACAGTTACCCTCCGCATCATTCCCGGGGATGGTAAAGTATACCTATTGTGTCTCTCTCTAATGTCTCTCTCTTCCTTTGACTGCCTCTCTCTCTCTCTATCATTAGGGTGCCATGTAATTGAATAGTGGCAATTTAGAAGCAGCCTTATCCATCTCTAACTGAACATACCCCTCCAACAAACATAGAGCCGGTGTTACTAAACCTGACTTCACCCTCCTTACTTAATCCTCTAGCCTTGTGGCACTGTCCTGCTGCAGATATCACAGTTTCAGAAAACCCTTTTTTCTTTTGATTTAATTTGGTGCCTTTGCCTTTAAAATGATAGAATAGTTTGAATATAGGTGGTGAAGATCTCCTGATATTTGACCTGGTAATCACTAATGACTTTTTTAAGCAATCAATAAAATTTAATCATTTAATGTGGTAACACCACAAAACTTGAATAATCACAGTGAAGAACCAGGGCTGTGTGTTTTTCCAGAATAAGTGCTTGTATCAAAACTTTTTCTTTAGTAGGGGAATCTTTGTGTTGGTGTCTAATTTTTGCATTTGGATGAAGACATGAAATCACTGTATTTTTGCTAGGTTATATTTACATTAAACTATAGGCCTGTGCTTGCTTGGTTGTTTAAGTTCAAATCTTTGGTGCTTTTGCAGCAGTGGTGATTGTGCCCCACCCCCACCACCTCTACCCTGGGTATTCTTGGCATTGTCTTGAGTGGGTGTTGACTGTCTCTAATGGGTAGAGGCCTCTAAGCAACTGAGGGTACACAGTACAACCCCCTCCCCATAAAAAGTTATTTAGCCAAAAAAATTAATACTAATTTTATTCATATTTAATAAAAGTGAAGTTAATAGACTAATGTCACTAAGTATAGACTTTTCTGAGCATTCAGTGCTAAATTTTGAATTCGTTCTAAGAAGATTTTGCCTGAGGGAGGAAGTGATAACTTGTCCCAAAATGTTTCAGTAGTTGTTTTTTTTTTCACTCCTGCTATACATGTTATGAAATTAAAAATATATTTCTCAAGAGGAAAAATGTGGTTTATAGAATAGTGTGATAAAAATTCTGTCATTGATCTGTAAACTAAAATGAGAGATTTTATCTGAAACTTAACAATTGAATATTTTTATATATTGACTATTTAAAAATGAGCCTTACTAGTTTACAATTGGATGGTCTAGACTGTACCAGTCAGGAAAAGTAAATTCAAAACCAACAATAAATATTTGAAAATTATGGTTCTCAGAACAAAGAATTTTCACTGTACCAAAAATATCCCATACCAAATGTGGAGGAAAAAATAACTCCTTGAATAATGCTTTCTACAGCCTGCCTCCAAATGCATGGTTAGTAATTTACCATCTGGTCTGGAGTCCATTCCACTAGTTCACCACTTTGGAAAGCTATTACAATTGAGGAAAGTGATCACAAGATGATATACCATAGGCTCCTAATGGAAAGGATGAAGGAAGCCAGAAAAATTAAGTGAGAAATGGTTGAGAAAGCAAAATATAATATATACATATAGATACATTTATAAGAGAGATGCCAAGGAGAGATGCCAAAAAACTAGCCCAAAAGAACTAGACACAGGAATTGGACACAAGATCCATCACTGGATCTTGATTGGTCAACCTTAATGTGTAAAGAGATTGTCCACAAAAGGCAGGAAAGGGAGCAAGTGCTTCTTGAGGGAAAGGCTTATTAGAGTTTAGAACTGGGAAAGTCACAAAGAAGCAACTTATACCACTGTGCATATACTAGGTGTTGGCATAATTAATCAAGAAGAATGATATTATTTTTGGAAAATCTAAACACCAAAAAATGAAATGCCAGGTAGATTATCCATGAACATTTGTCAATGGGACATAGTTTTTAAACTTAAATACTTAAAAACACAAAATTCAGTTAGACATATCTCACATTATCTTTGTTAGAAGACAGTAAACGTTAAAATTGATAAAGTTAAGGGTTGATGTGCTACGGAGCATGTGACTTCATCCCAAGGTATTTCAGGAACTCACTGTCATGATAATAAAACTCTTCATAAATATCATGGTAATCATAAGAGATCAAGTACAGGAAATCAGCTATGGCAGAGGGTGAATTTGTGATGCTCATCTTTCAAATGCAGCTGAGATTGTCATCTTGGAAATTAAAGTTCAAGTAGCAGAATCCAATTTCTATAGACAAACTGGGAAATCCAGGAAAATTTTGCTAACACCTGGCAGACAAAGTGTGATTATTATAGTTTGATGAAGAGAAAATTATGCTAGGTCCACCTTTTTCTCTATGGAAGTGTATTGGACACGGTAGGTAGGTTACGTAGTTGAAGAAAGGTGCTCTCTATGTTAGGGTCCTCTGTTCTCCTTCAGATCTTCACTGTAATGTTTAATTTGTCAAGTAACCTCAAAGCAGTCTGCTTTGTGATCCTCAGAGTGGTTTCTAAGCTCTTAGAAATCCACCTGGTCCAGGGCACAGTTCTCAGAAAGTCTAGGAGGCACTTTAGAAAGATGCACTGTCTTTTGGGCAGTGCTTGGAACCCACTCAGAATCTGCTTCTTTAGCTCATGATGCCTGATACTTTTGTCATCAGTCACTTTGCTTGCACTTACCTCCATCAATAGTTTTCCTCTCTCTGCGTCTTTCCCCCTCTTTACCTCTCTTTCTTTCCCTGTGTTGCTGCAGCATCCTCCAATAAAAGCTCCAAAACATGCCTCCTCTTTATCTGGCATTACAGCATTGTTAGAAAGTCTGCTTTCACATATCATGAACAGGCTAAAGCAAAGGAGTCCTCGCAGTCTCTGCTTTTCTACCTTTTAGACTAGGATAGGAGGTAGAGGTCAGGGCAGAACCTTTCTCCTATGAGACATGGACACGGGATAATAAATATATAACGGCACCAAAGGGAGACTCAGAAAATAGCTGTATTTACTGAATCAGAACTCGAAATCCGATACGTCAAATCACACATGCTTCCTCACACTTGGTTGTATAGAAAAGTCCTGTGAAATCTAGGTGGGAGCAAAATTTCAAAACCTGTCAGACAGGACAGGTTTTGACTGAGCCAGTCTAACATGGAACCATCAGTTTGAATCAAATTCAACAGAATGAAAATATTCATGAACTTTGAAGTACATTATTTAAATAATGATTTTAAATTTGTACTTCAGATTACTCTGATGAGAAGTATTTGCTTATATAGGCAGTGTGACTTGGCAATGCAGCTATGCTATTTCCTTGGCATAGAATAGTATAAGTTTAAGTATCTTAATAGAAGGCTCGGTGGGTATTTTATGGCTAACATATACTCAAGCAAAAGAAACAGAGTTACAACATACAGATTTAAAAAATCTCCCACTACTTTTCAAATATTGATGGGCTTAAAATTGTAAATACTTCCTTCAGACATTTATTACATGTGTTTACGCATTAAAATATTTATAAGAGCAATGATTGTATCTTTTGTCAATCTGCTTGACTTTATAGTGTAGATTCCATAAGGGAGGCTAAGGATATTAACATGAGAGCAAGGTTAGAATTGTAATCACTTGTCACCGAGATGTGTTAAATCCTAATATAGAAGCTCCTGTCAGAGTCAGTGGCCTGATGTAAAACAGCACAGTGACAGATATGAGAGCTAGTATATGCTTTTCTTAATACACAATTGCTGTGAAAAGTGTAGCAATATCCATTTTCATTCCTCTGGGAGAGCTACAGTAGTTGTAAATGCTGTTTAATAAAGGATGTAGTGTACTTTCAGGATTTATCATAGAAATAGTCAATCTATCCATCTGCCTTGAAGTTTTAAAAGTCAAATAACATTGACACCCCTTCATAATACTGCTTCTGGAGTACATGCTTATTTCAGGTCCTTCTTTTAGATATTTTTTCTATTACATGGGGGAAAATTTGCTTTGGGATAGAGCTATAAATTTGGGATAATGGATTTCAGCTCTTTATTTTAAAAATCTAGAAAGATTCGCAGTACACATACTCTTGGTTTAGTTCCAAATGAAGACATAAAATTTAATTTGAATATGTTTATCTTTATTGATATTTGAAAAAGCACCCTGGAAATCTAGGGTATGCTAAAATTTATTTTAGTGCCTGAAGATGGCCCATGAAATCTAAAAGTCAAAGCAGAATATTTTGTATTTTAATTAATCTATGATAATGCTTAGTGAAGTTAATGGTATTTATGCAATAAAATAAAAACACTGCTTATTTGAAAGGAACATACCAATTAGACATGATTTCCTGGATATCAAGACATAATCCCCTTGTAAACAGATTGAGTCTAAAATTTAACTCTCAGGCAGACCGTGGGTTTAATTCCAAGTGTGTTCACTTGCTCTCTGGATGACCTTGGACATTTACTTTTTCTAAGCCTTGGTGTCTTCCATCAGTAAAATGGAGATAGTAATTGCCCTGATTTCATTGAATTGTCAGAATCAAGCAAAAAAGTCCATGTGGTAATGCAGTAGCACAGTGCTTGACATATTGTAGTGATCATTAAATTGTGGTAGTTCAATAAATTAAAAATCAACAAAAGGAGGAAAATTCAGTGAACACAAATAGGCAATTGCATATTAAATATTTCTCTTTTAGTGATTAAAGTTAAGGCTTTTACCCAAGGAAAACTTGCATATAAATATAAGTGGGAAAAATAGCAAATGAAGGCTAGGAGGAGACTTGATAATGTAATTCTGTTTATTTGTGTAGTAATGATTATGTGTTATAATCATCAGATCATGAAAGCAGTAGAAACATTAAAATTGGTCAGAATGGGATCTGATCGGCCAGTAAAACTGGCTACTAAAACACCCAAGAACTCAATATCAAGAACTCTAAAGGCACAATTCAGTAATTATAATCACTTTAATTACAAGGAAATATTCTTTTTGATATCCCGTTTTGATTTCCCCATGGCCTGAACAATCTCATGATTTCCCAGAGAGTCTCCGTAAAATTAATTACAGTGAGCAATATGAAGTTTTTAAAGGACCGATACAGGTGTTTATAAACTTCTGGCAAATCGCATTTACAGTCTTTTAATACTTTGTTACTGACACAGTGAGTGTACTTTATGAGATAGCACTTGATTCGTCATGCTGACTTGCTGGTTAACTGCAATCATAACAGTCCCCTAATAATATGCTTTTAATATCATAACAGTAATAAATACAAGCTACCAGCAAAAAAATGTGCTAATCATTTTTTGAACATTTTATGTTCCTAAAATAATACCAGACACTCATCTCATTGCACCCACATGCAGATAAGAAAACCGAGGAATAGAAAGTTTAAGTAACTTTGCTTAAGTCCCAGCCAGTAAATTGCAGCACTTGATTGATATTCCAGAGCTGAGTCTCACTCTAGAATCTGACCTCACAGCCATTATGCTAAACTGCCTCCCAGTAAGCTCTAAAATAAGCTTCCCAACTTGGAGGGCCACAAGGCATATCCACATAGTTAAATACTGGGGAGGAGTCTGCAGGAAAAACAAAACACAGATATGCAAAAGCTTTTCTCTCTGTTTCACCCTTGATTTCCCACCCTTAATGACCAGAGGTTTCTTTTCTCTCAGAATCTCTTTAAACATTTGGTAAAACAGATTGTGGGAAGCATTGTCCTAAGGTGTGAACGGGACTCACACTGTAGTTCATTTGATCCAGTTACATTTTCTTACTCATTTTGTGCCTCAGCTGTAAGACTCATGGGCTTTATGGCTGGAATACAAACTGCTAAAATCTTATTTCAACTTTTTTTTTTTTTCATTTTGCAGCATTTAAATGGCTTATACAAATTCCCAAAGTAATAAATACAAGTATTAGCAGCAAGGACCACAGCTATAGTAAATGTGTAGTGAGTGCTTATCGGAGGTCAGATACTCTACTAAACATTTCACGTACTTCTATACACAGGAAGGGAATTGTTGTCATGTTCTGCTCTCATCAGAGGAAAATAAGGCACACAGCTGATGAGTAGGGTAAAGGAGATTTGAATCTCAAGCCTGTCTTTTAACCACTATGTATAATGAGAATAAAGTGAGAGGAAGCCAGACCCAAGCTGAGTAAATAGCCTTAGAAAATGAAATGGAAGGGTTGGGAGACCACCAGGAGTTGGTTTAATGCACGTCTTGTGTTCCAGGACTGCAGTGGAGAAAGGTGTATTCCAGATATCCCAGGGTTTTTTTTTTTTATTAATTAATTTATTTTTTACATCATTGTTCATTTTTAAACAATATTTGCTCCCCCCACCAGGTGTACTCCCCATAGACTTTCTTTCACCAATGCACCTTTGCACCATCACCACAGCCCCCTATGCTCTCCCTCCTTCCCTTTGATCCCTCTCCCTCCTCCTCAGTTTGCATACTTAACATATCCCCCCTTTGAGACTCTTACATATATATATATATAAATGGACAGATGCATCTGTCCATCAGGATGCCTACTATGGGTGGTAGGACTTATGGAAACTTCTGGGCTTCATAGCATACTTTGACTTAAATGAGCATTTACAAGCTCATCTTAGGGTCTGAGCACCACATTCAGCACTTTCTTGATTAGGAAGTTAATGCCACATTCCAAACAGTCAATCTAATAATAAATAATAAAAATCCAACTTACTCATAGTTGCTTGCTCTCTGCCTTAGAGATCTTAATGACAAAATAATTACAAAATTATTACAGGAACATATCGCCATTACTATATGAATGATTAAATCTTAATATTTGCACATTGGTATGCAGTCTGTAGGCATGCTCATGCATGTTATCAAATTCTGGATCTCCAAATTTGTAGAGATTAATGAAGTTACTCAGGAATATGGTTAGTGGAAAAGAAAGTCAATTTACATAAGAATATAATCATAGTCATTACATTAGGTAACTTCATGATTTTACAACTTATATTTACAAACTCTGGCTCTAATGCCAGCTTTAAAATTAATTTTTCATGAATGATACCAGAGATCTGTCAAGAATTGTACATTTTCATTTGTGCTTCATTAAAAGCAATGGGGGGGGGTAGATGTTGTGTATATGAGTATTTAATAAGCTGCTAGCACACTTCTGTTTTTAATATTCCCATGACAATATCAAGCACACTTACCAAACATGGCTAATAAATTGCAGGAAATGTTAGCAAGACACTTAAAATTTTGAAAATAGTTTTGGTATGATGTTGTGTTTCTGTGGGACTGCCATCCTGAAGGGATGGAGAGAAGTCAGGGGCACCTACCTTAGGGAAAATTTTAGAGTAGTATTTTCTTGGGCAAACTATTTCATGTGTGGGGATGTTTGGGAGGAGGAAAATGGGAGAGTATACTTTTGATTGTTGAGAAATTAAAAGCAGAACTGTTGGAAATAGTGACAGAGAAGCCAGGTTTGTCATTCATGTGTGGGGCTTCTGCACATCACCTCGTTGAACGATGTCTTCTGGGTCCTCATTTCCATGTGCCGTCTCATCCTGCAGAGTCTTCAAATGCCACTCTGCTGACCAATGCGGAGAAGATCGCCACCATCACCACCACGCACACGCCCTCTCAGCCAGGGGCCCAGGAGACCAGGTCAGCTGTGGCTATGGTTTCTTTTGTTAGTTTCAAGGGGAACAAGTAACTCCAGACCTGACAGTACTCATCCTTGATTCTTTCTCTGTTTCTCCACGGGTTGTCTCTTATGTTTATTTCTCTCACTTTGGCAGGAATACCACCAAGCCAAAGCCGGAATCTCAGTTTGAGTTCAAAGCACCCCAGGCAACACAGGTGAAGACTGTTTCACTTTTTTCCTCTATTTTCTTTGTTTGTTTCCTTCCAACTTTCTGAAGTCATTTTTATGAGTGAATCTTTCAGAAAGGTTCTACAATTAAAATAAATAACCTGTTGTGTGGGCATGTAACAAGTACACACTCACATTTGGTTGTCTGTAAAATGACATTTTATTTTGCTGCCTTTGGAAAATACTCCTTGATATCCTTTTCTAGTGGGGGAAAGCAAACAAAAATTTAAAAAGCCATACCTATCTCAGGTATTGGCAGGCAGAGAAAGCAGAACAGCTCATGTCTACTCATGGTTTTCATAAATATATTTATGCCAAGAGAATTTCTTTTTGTTAAGGTTTTTCTGAGTCTTTTGACTTTCAGGTGAACCCTTAGAGAAAATGCCTGTCCTGAAGGGTAGTTATGAAGTGTGCACAAATAATATTGATAGTAGGTGAAGCAGTTTGAAAACTTTTGGGTGATGCAAAGTTAAATAGGTTCTTCTTTTTACTGGCCTTCTCAGAGCTTTTCAGAATTCATCCATGACTTTCCCCAACCAAAAGAGAACTGCCCAGGTGTGTAGAGGTTATTATTGGTGACCTTACAGTGGACAATGGACACTGCTGGCATTTTTCAGGCATTGGACTGGGAGACTGAACGGCCAGCAATGATTAGGATGGTATCATATAAAGAAGAATTATCCTACTGCAGCTACAAATGTAGTCTTGCTAATTAAATTTTAATATATGCATGTTGATGTACATTCCTAAGGCATGTTTGCAAGTATTTTCAAATTCTGGATCTCCACACTTCTAAGGTTAATAAATATTAATAAACAATTGAGAATCACCAAGAGGAAGATAGAGACTGCATTTTTTTATCAAACCAGAGTCAGAGAGAATGGAAAGAGAAAGAAATGTATGTGAATAAAAGTTCCCTCCAAATGATCATGTTTCATTTCTTTAAATAGGAACAAGATTTTTACACTGTGGAACTGGAAAGAGGAGCCAAGGGATTTGGCTTTAGTCTTAGAGGGGGCCGAGAGTATAACATGGACCTCTATGTTCTGCGCTTAGCAGAGGATGGTCCTGCAGAAAGGTGTGGAAAGATGAGGGTAAGTACAAAGAGGCGTTGCGTATATGGTGTAAATGAATCATATGGACACTTATGGCTAGAAGCTTTTGTTCATGAGAATTATGAACAATTCTGGAGCAGCTTTCTGGATGCTCTAAATGCAAGGCTTCCACCCTAGTATAAATTTCTCCCTAAAGTAAAATTGAAGCTGCTCAAGGTAGATGAGCCCTTCCAGCTCAGATGGAATCAAGGATTAAAATCACCTGTAAACTTATTCAAGTAGAAACTTCTGAATCCTATTTCCATGGTTCTTTTATTTAATCTCAAGAGGCAGACACATCACTTCACAAGAACCCCTGGGTACACAGGATGCCTAGAGAACAGGAAAGCCAGGTAGTTGTGCAAACACTGGGTAGTGAGAGCCCTTCAGTCTCCAGTTAGTCACCAGCTATTTTTCTGAGGTCTCAGGAATGAGTCAACTCTGAGCAGAGTAGGACTCTGTGCATGAGTATTCAAGGTTGCCCTGTGTAGTCGAAGCCACACATTTTAAGCACATAAATGCCAAATGCCCACTTTGCTCTGTTTAGGCACCTAATGTCTATGACTGTGGATGAATATGTCAGAGTAGAGGATTTAAAAAAAGAAAAATCATGTGCTCATTATAGATAGGTCACACAGATTGAGACGTACACATAGGAACCAGTCTGCAGTGAATTAGAAGAAATCACGATTGTCGGGTCAGGAGAGGAAAAATGTGAATGAGATTGGTCCTGAGCAGATTGACCAAGGGTAGTTCAGGCACAATCTTGATTTTTAAGTTTGTTCAGATTGAATTTTTTTTTTTAAGATTATTTATTTATTTATTTATACAAGCACTGGGTACAGTCAGAAGCATGGTAGGGTGAGAGAATTCACCAGAGCCAGAGCAGGGAACAGAGCAGGCAGAGTGACGAAATACACTGCCGAGGGGAGCAGCGGGCAAGGCAGGAGAGGTCTGCTCCCCGTGTGGGACCCTTGCCTGTGGCCGAGGATTGAACTGGCGCTGCAGAGGCTGCGGGCAGCTTCCCAGCCCAGCGCTCAACCGCTGCGCCACCAGGGGAGGCCCATATTGAATTTTTTAAAGGAGATTATGTTTCATGTTTTAATTTAGAAGTAGACCATAAAAATGATTTTAATTGAACAGTGAACATGATGTAAGTAAGTATACAGTATTCAGGGTCAAACTACATACCAGTTTCTTGTAGATCCTTAACACATATGCTTGTGTCTACACAGAGAATATATACAGTGGTGTATATTTTGTTTAAATTTCAAATACATGCAATATGGTTCTTGTGTCTTCTCACTTTTAAAAGTTTCTTATTGAATGAAGTGTCATTTTCATGATATCTTATATAATTCTGAATAGTTCACAAGACATATTTACCTGTGTTATCAAATTTAACCCTTGCATCTCCGTGTATGCACGGGTGTTACTGTCATCCCTTTCTACAGATAAGGAGTAGATTCCAAAAGTTAAGAGACTTGAGCAGTTAGCTAACAAGTGGTAGGATTCAAATCCAAATCTTAAAGCTCCAAAGCCTATGCTTTTTGTTTTCTAACTTCTAAAATATAAGCTCTATGATAGTAAGGATTTGTCTTGTTCACTGCTTTATCTACGATGCCTAGAATAGTAGCTGACACATAGTAAATGCTACAGTCAATAATAGGCCAGATTGTGGTGTCATTTGAAGGTTCAGCTGGGGAGGTTTCACTTCTAAACTCACTCACAGGGTCGTTGGCAGAATTCAATGTGTCTTGCACTGTTGGCTTCAGCCCTCCTTCATTTACTTATCATGGGCTCTTGTAGAGGCGCTTAGAACCTACATCAAAGCATACCCCTGAGAGAACAAAAGAGAGCAAGTAAGACAGAAGCCAAAATCATTTTGTAACCTTATCTTTGAACTGGCATGTCATCACTTTGGCATTTCTGTTAGAAGCAATAACTAATTTCAACCCACATTAGATGAAAGGACATTACACACATTGTGACGGCCAGGAGGGAGAAATCACTGGAGGCCATGCTAAAAGCTGCCCACCCTTCATCAATTACTATTCCCCCTACTGCTGTCTTCTTTATCCTTAGCACCTAGCTAGCATATATGTATTTTTCTAATTTTCTCGTTAGTTATCTTTCTGCATTCAGGTGCCTTGCACATAGGGCAGGGGTTAGTGTTCTTCACTGCTGCATCCTTTTGTAATTGAAAACTTTCTGGAACATACACAATAGATATTTGATAGACCAATAAAGGAAAGGGGAAAGACTTTTGTGATCTTCTCACTTTGCTCTCTCTTGCTTTGGCAGATTGGCGATGAAATTTTAGAGATCAATGGTGAGACCACCAAAAACATGAAGCATTCTCGGGCTATAGAACTGATTAAGAATGGTGGCCGCAGAGTACGTCTGTTTCTGAAGCGGGGAGACGGCTCAGTACCAGAATATGGTGGGTCAAACTATGAAAACATTCCTTCCTTCCCTGGCATGACTCCATGAATTTGTCTCCAGAACTGCAGCAGGAAAGTCTTTTTGTTTCCCCTATTCACCAGTGTCTTACCAGCCTTTCGCACCATGTGATTATTTGCCTCGCTTGTTCTGAAATCTCTACACATTTCATCCTTTTGCTTGCTTACGTGGACTGGGGCATGGCCTAAGACAAGATCTTTATAGCCCCCTTTCTGATAATCAGAGAGAACATTTTGTCTAGTCCGACCAAGAGCGAAGGAATGTTTGTTTGAACTGTGCCAAACTGTTTCTCAGATCCAATTGTTAGCACAAAATGACTATACTCCTTTTAAGAAGCAGGAAAGCAGGTTTCCTGAGTGATATGTTGAGGCACAATTATTTTTTTCCTTTTTTGGTTTTTTGATGTCTTTATTTAAGAGGCGTGAAATTTTGAGATGATTTGGGGGCCTTGCTCACCGCCTTTCTGCTCTGTATACAACACTTCTGCATCCCCTCGGGGCCCTCCCCCAAATCAGGCCACCTGAACCCACGACTAGAAAACAAACAGAACTGTTGATATATTAGCCATATGTTTTTAAATGATAAAGGATGAAATAGATTCCCAGTGCTCATCATGAGGGAAACATGTTACTATACCTTTCCTGTGGGGAAAGCCAGGTTATACATAGAGTTCCTTTGTCATATCTATACACTTGCTTTGAGTAAACAGCAATGATCTTTACATAGCTTAGTGTTCTGATGGCGAAATATTGTATATTATAATAATTATGTCCTATTTATTTGAGATGCTTGTTTAAAATTAAAAAAAAAAAAAGCTATGCCCTAGATGTAGGGCTTTTTCCCAACCAAAGGTCTACAAAAGTTTCTATAGAAACTGTGATTGAATGGTCCCCATATACATTGGTCCCCTTTATTAGGGATTTATCTGTCACCACCCTCTTTTCTGAAAGTCATTCTGCACAATTCCCAGTTGCATTTTAGACTTGATGATCCTTAATTCAGAAGTGACTCAAGGAGGAGGATGATTCCCTTGAAGGTCACCCTTCCCAGGTGTTGGACATTCATACAGGTGCAAATAAGAAGGGCCCAAGGTGGGGCGTGGGTGGGTTGCAGAGAAGGTTCCTGTAGACATGACCAACCGCAGGGGAGGAATTCTGACCACACTCAGATGCCACAGCTGTGCCCTGTACTAAACCTCTAACCTGGGTGTATCGATGCCACTGAAACTGTGTAACATTGTCTCCCTTTTCTGTCTCCCCTATGCTTCTGTTGGATGTGATATTTCATTTGAGAGTCATCGTCAGTAACCTGTGTACCTTCTCAAAACCTATGTCTGTTGCACTGAGGATGAAAATCCAACACTAACAAATGTTCTTTGGGCTAAAAATAAAGATCATTTAAATACTCGGTTTTCCAAGAAGGGTTGAATGTGCCAGGGTTGTGCTGCTGTAATGTCTCCATGTGTCGTTCGGACTAAATCTCTCTAATTCTATTGATTAGAGTCACAAATGGGTTATAATATGTTAAGTTCCAATATTTTTCTGACTTGACTGGAACCTGCTTCTCTGTGAGGCTATTTTTGTAATGAGTTTTTTGTACTTAATTTAACTGCCGCGGTCTTGGGGAGGGGGGGGTGGGAGGGAACTTTGTTCTTTTGTTGTTTATTGTTAATGCTCTCCTATGCCAGCCTGTCATTGTTCCAGTTGTTTGAAAAAAAAAAAAGAAAAAGAAAAAGAAAACAGAATGCATTCATTGTCTGGGTTCTCAAGTCACCTTATATGGCTGTCTAAAAATGTCACTGTTCTGATTGCGGTCTCTGCAGCCTTATTTGAGTGTTGCCTTAGACTGTCTGACTGGACAAATAAACTCTCTTTGCCCTATGTTAACAAATGCAGATTTTTTTTTCTTTCCTCTTTGTTATAGGGAATCTAAATGTTCAACTTTTTCTCTTTCTCTCTTTCTCTTTCTGACTGTTCTTGGTGCTGGGCCCTCCCTTCTACAGCGATGATACCTCCTAATATCGCTGCATGTATGAGAAATGAAAAGCTCGGGGAGGCTTGCTTCTACCTTATGGGCCATAATCAAACTACGGTTTGTAGCTCAATCAATACTAGGTGTTTCTGTGCTGTGGCCTAATTTCCTCATTGCTTCTGCTTAGCTCTATTTTGATATGTTTGGCAATTCATTCTGAGCACCCTGCGTTCTTTGAATTGTAAGTACACCGCTGACCCTATTGAAGTCTTGCTCCCCCTTACCTTAAAAAAGTAGGTGTCAACCACCCCCCACCCCAGATTAGACTTAATGATAGTGGTCTGAGTACCTTCCCACATTCAAATCTTGAAATGATATTGTAAGCCCCTATTTGTGTTAATTCAAGTAGCCTACCAAGCATTTAGAAGCAAGGAACCTCACAGAACTCTCACCTAAAGTAGATAAGACTTTGCTGGACAGGAAGATGCTCACTCAGTGATCTCTTAGCAAATGCAACCTATCAGTCCAATCCTGTCCCTAGCCTGATTTTGTCAATAAAGTTTTATTGGCACATAGCCATGCCCACTTCTTTTCTATGTTCTCTAGGGCTGCTTTTGCATTACCATGACAGAGTTGAGTAGTTGTGACACAGAGCATATGGACCACTATGCCAAAAATATTTACCCTTTTTGACCCTTTACAGTGAAAGTTTACCAATCCCTACTCTAGGCTATCTCCTGCTTTTGTGAAACCCACGGTAGGTTTTAGAAAATCCTCATGAAAGAGATTAATGGCTTAATGTTGACTTTGTTGCCAAATGAAAGCCCTTAGAGAGCACCCATGATTCCTCCATCTTTCTGTCACCCAGGTTTGCCCTCTAAGCTACAGCACCTCATTTCAGGTGCCTTGACTGGGATGGCATAATGTGTATGAATTGGGTCTAGTTGTAACAAAACACCCCTGCTTTGAAAAGAGTTCTCATAAATTCAGAATGCTATCTAAAACAACTGCAGGCTGGTTTCAAATAGTTTAATAATGAATAGGGGCCCTCGTGGCCTGCCCTGCTTTTAATTCTATAGATATCCTGATGTTATAAGAAGCAGTCCAGTGCCTCTAAAGCTCATACATGTAATTATGACTGCTTTGTTCAGCATAAAGAAAGTGCCTCTGAACTTCAAAGACTCTATCTGTTCCCAAGTTACATCAGATGCGTACCTGACAACTTTGCCGCACTCCCTTTTATCTGCCAGAAGTCTCCACATTTTAAAACTTGAAACTTAACACAAAAATAGAGAAAATCCTTGAATAATATGCACAAAGATAGGATTGTTTAATGGACCCTCACACGCATCACATTTGCCAATCATCATCTGGCCAATGTGCTGCCTCTATAATTCCCTTTGCCCATCACCCCAGATTAGTTTTAAGAACAGAAGTATACCTGCAGATAGCAAAACTCATAACACCTAAATGGATCATGCACTGACTTTTTTTTAACCTACGTACACATCCATTCAATCATTACCCAGATCAAAATATAGACAGTTTCACACCCCCAGCAAGCTCCCTCATCTGCCTCCAAGTCAGTATCCCTGATTATTTGTAAGCACATTTTAAAAAAATGTTCTTAAAAGAATGTTTTCCCCCATGGGAGTGAGGGAGAATTAGATAGGGCAGATGGGTTGGTTGTGGGGGAATGGGGAAGATGCGCACAGGATAGAGTGGGGGTAGGTTTGAGACTTCTAGACAGACTATTTGGGTTGTGCCTTTAAAGATTAAAGCCATGACTGATTTTTATGAGTTCTTTTATGATCAATATCTTGAGTAAAGGGAACAATAGGCTAGATGCTGAAAGCCACAACTCCTAGTTTTTAACCCTATGTAGTTGCAGTTAACCCAAGATTCATTCAGTTGGCTTTGATCCTGACTGCATTAACAGTTGTTTGTTGTCACTAATGAGATCTCAAGTGTGGGAGTGGGGACAGGAGCTGAAGATCCCTCTACCAAACTGTTGCTCTCATTTCTTTCCCTGGCAGACCCCAGCAGCGACCGGAACGGCCCCCCCACCGGTCCACAAGGTGTTCCGGAAATGAGGGCAGGGCCTCCCGACCGCCGCCAGCATCCGTCCCTGGAGTCCAGTTACCCACCCGATCTTCACAAATCATCACCACACGGGGAAAAGCGGGCACACGTGAAAGATCCAAAAGGCAGCAGAGAGCATAGCAGACAAGCCAATGAACATCACACATGGAATGGAACTTCTAGAAAACCCGACACTGGGGCATGCCGACCCAAGGACCGGGCGCCCGAAGGACGAAGAGACGCACAGCCTGAGCGCATGGCTACCAATGGCCCCAAGAGGAGATCTCCAGAGAAGCGCAGGGAAGGCACTCGCAGTGCTGACAACACTTTGGAAAGAAGGGAGAAGCACGAGAAGAGAAGAGAGGTTTCTCCCGAGAGGAGGCGAGAGCGATCCCCCACCCGCAGAAGAGAGGGGTCACCCCCGCGCAGAAGAGACGGCTCGCCCAGCCGGCGGAGGAGGTCTCTGGAAAGACTGTTGGATCAGAGGAGGTCTCCAGAGCGGCGGCGAGGGAGCTCTCCCGAGAGGCGAGCCAAATCCACCGACCGCAGGCGAGCACGGTCCCCCGAGCGGAGGCGAGAGCGGTCCCTTGAGAAGAGGAATCGCGAGGACAAAGGCAGTCACCGGGAAAGGGACGAGCCCAGTCTGAAACAGGACGCAGGCAGAAGCTCCAGACACGCCCCTGAGCAGAGAAGGCGACCTTACAAAGAATGTAGCACCGACCTCAGTATCTGAGACTGAATCACATTCCAACCTTTACCGTGTCAAAGGTTCTTAGAGGAAAGTCACAAACCTGAAATAATTTCGTTTCTTACCTAATGAAGCATCTGACACCTGGTGATCCTATGAATAGCAACAAACGTTTATGCATTTGGAATCTTATAAGAAAAAAATATATATGAAAAGTGTTGTGCCTGATGTATATTAAAATATTTTTAAATGCATACTTTTTTGGAAGTTATTTGCCAAATGATGCCCCAAAGGGATATACATTTTGTTTCTACATAAGCTGTAGAATTGTCAAGAATTGTTGTTCCCTCTTTTGGACAATCTTTTTCTCTCCTGGTTAAATGAGGCCGTTGACCATTTTCTCTACGGAAGGGAAATTATTAAGCTGAATTCATTTGCTATAGACTGTTATGGAGTGATGTAGAGCTATACGATCGTTAGGAATTTTTCTTAACAAAGAGCAAAAGGTGAAAGCTATATTTCTAAAAACTTAGGACTTGTGGGGTGGGCTAGGATTGCAGATAATCCTAAAATTAAGGAAACTATGAAGAGACTACTATTGGGAATGAAGGATATTTATAGCTAAGCTACACAGCACAAAGAAATATTATGTTCTCGAGTTATTGATTCAGAAAATAATATGTACTCTCCCTGGCTTTAGAAAGACACAGAAAATAAGTTGGCCACTATTACCGGCATGCAGCTCCAGCACGGGTAGCCAGGTTCATTAATAAGATCTCCTTAAGGCAGCACCATCACAGCTTTGCTTGACTACTAGAAGGATTGGACAAACACTTTCTGTGTTGTCTGATTTGTGCCTGGATAGTAGATGGAATGGGGACATATATCCTGTGGGAGGGAGCCATAAGATACCCCAATCCTGACTGTATACCTCCCCCTTTTAGCATAAGCCTGTGGTTGTCCTTTACCAAATGGGGGAAGGAGAACAAGTGATGGTGGAAGGAACCTCTCTGTTGATATTTTTGAAAGTGAGGATTGGGAGTATTCTCTCTTAGAAATGCAGATGTCCCTTGGAAGCCCTCCTGCAAGTCCCCAGGATGACTGAAGGGGTGAGAAAGATGCACTCCCAGTGGTTCTGGTCCTACTTGGCAAACCTCCGCCCGCATGACCCTGTCCTTTCAGTCTTTGGACAGCAGAATAAAACAGTAATTTTTCTTTCAAAAAGACCCATTCTTTGCCATCATCGCGCAAGAGGTGCGGTGTGTCGGCCATAGCCCTAAGGATGGTGGAAATGGATTACTGCCTAGCTGAGCCAAATGTTTGCTTGTACCTGTTGGACCACTACAGCAAACTGCTGCTTACAGTGCATTGTGTATTTCCGTAGTACTGTTTTGCATTTTCCATACATACACAAACCTTTACAAGTCAATCACTGTTGTTATAGGGTACTGTTTAAAAAAAGTAAAAGGAAAAAAAATGGAGAAAACCAGCCAATTATTGTGTGTACAGAGTTTAAAATTGTAATTAATAGAGCCTGTTTAAAAAAAAACAACTGTTGCCTTTTTCTTGTATAAAAGAGAATTTATGACAAAAAATTTAGCTGTGAGGAATGTGATATGTGTTTATATTTCTGAATATGGAACAAATTGATTCATCGGGATATATTTTAATGTAAACTAAATCAGGTATGTAAAGCTGTTTTAAAAGGGGAAACTATATAAGTAATTCTCTAAAGCTTTAGTTGGGTTGAATATCATTTCCTCCATGGTGAGCCTGCTCTTGTGAATTATTAAGCACTTGTTTGCTTTCTTTGTTCTTCACTCATTTCTTGCAGTTTGCTATGGACTTAATGCTCTCTCTATATTGATGAAAAGCAGTATGTGGGCCAATCTTTTTATAAAACACTATGCATATATAAATATTACATTGTTCATAGCTTTATTTGATTTATGGGTTTATATATGACATTAGAATGAGTAGCTGTAGTCGTGTGGACACTCAAGAAACAAGTTCCTTTCCTGGAACAGACACAACGTACATTGGGGGGAAATCTGTGACTGCTATTTTTGTTATCCAAGTTTTCCATACACGGCATACATTGAACTGTAGTATGACGACTGAGAGAGAATACAATCGAATAATGATGCTCTTTTTCATTAATTTCCTCGAGCCAACTTGGGATTTTATTCCTAACGTTCCAGGCTAGGACTTTTCTTACAATTTCTAGCAGAATCTGTGATGTTAAATGATTGATGCTCTCAATTGTGATCCAGAGTTTTAAATAAATCAAGGTGGATTTTTGGAGTACATCCTGAAGTTAACATCTTGATGTCTTTCTTGTTGTCAGAGATGATATCTGACATTTTTAAATCTATGTGCTAACCACCTGGGCTTGTCCAGTTTGTGACGATTTTGAGTGTGGCAGTTTAATATGAGTTTCACACATACAATTTGCTTTGGAAATGTTGTACTGTAAAGGGACTATGCATTAAGCAGAAAGATATCGTTTTCTCTAAACTACTGTAATCTTACATTGGAGACTGATTCTCGTGAGCCAACTTTCCCTAGTCCCCAACTTCATGTAAATGTCTTGATGAGAGATGATGGATGAGTATTTTGTATGATTAAATCAAACCCTTTAGGAATCCCCATCCCACCCAATACAAGGTTGATACCTGAAAGAATGTTGAGTGAAAAACTCAGCACCCTACTTGTATTTTTTTTAAGTTTCTTTTGTGAAAGATTTTTTAATGCATTTTTACTGTAAAAATACATGGAAATGTATGCATTCCATAACCACTATCGCTTCTGGATTGATATCTTTCTTGTCTCTGTGTTGTTTCAAATGTATCAGGGTCAAGTAATCAAGAGTATCTGACTCCAAGCAGATAAAAATACCTAACCATTCTGTTGAAGAAGAAAGAATGTGGCTTTGCTGTAGTATAGTGCCTTGTAGATTTGGTCGCTGGACCAACTGCCTCATCATCACTGGGGGAGTGTGTTAGAAATGCAGAATCTAATACCCCACATAATCTACTGACTTACAATATACATTTAAAAAGATCCCGCTAATTTGCATGTGAAAGTTTGCACAACGCGGTATTACATGGAAACTCTGCTAAAGCAAAACCTATAAAGGCAAAAGCTTCATCTACCCCTAGCTGTGTGACCTTGAACAAGCTACTTAACTACCTTTAAGCCTCAGTTTCCTCATCTTTAAAGGGGCATACCCTCACAGAGCCAGTTAGAATAAATGCAAAGCACTTAGCAAACATCGAGCAATCAGAAAAATTCTCAGTAAGTCACAAAACTTTTTTTCAGTATTTTCTGCATGTTAATGAGTATTGTTTTCCTCCCCAATCAAAATGAAGAAAATATTTTGTCCACTGAAATGGGAGAAAAACCTTGTTTTAATTATAAAGTCAACAAACTTTATAATGGCTCATGCTACTTTACAAATGTAATTACACTTACCAATGTTTTGAAAAATGAAATCAAACTGCTGTGCTATGAAAGGCAAAAATAGTCGCAAAGCATAACTTTTGGAGAAAGGTGTAGGTGGAGTTGGACATACTCCTAACTAGTCATACTAGATGAAAAGGTTAACCAATTAGCTGATATGTGTCCTGTTTGATCATGTACTTTCAAGTGACTTTCCAATTTCTTTCACGCTGTTCTTGGATTGTTCCTATAATATGACATAGTTAAAGTTTTCCTAAAGAATCTAAGCTCCCAGGCTCTCAAAAGGGTATTGTGTTTAATAGTTGGTCTTCCTACAATCCCTCTTTTGCTTTATTTTGTCACCAAAGTGGTAATTACGGACACTGCTCACTTCCCTGGTATCTCTTTTGTTACAGAAGGCATCGAGAAATGGTCCCTGGCTTAACTGACAATAGAAGCTATTTGTAAAGCTCTCATGTCACACAAGTTCTTTGCCTGCCATAAATAGACACAGTAAAAAGAATGTGCTAAGACTCAGTTAAAGCTGTCAGGATTGTTCCTGCTCCTGGTCTATCTGAGACCACCTTTGATGGTCTGCAGTCATCGTAAAAGGTAGATCCCTTTCAAGTTCCTGCAGGTAATTTTTCTTACAACCAGATAACACCATCAGCATTGCGGGTGTTCAGCACAATAAGATCCTAGTGCTTTGGGAATACATATCATCACCACAAGCTTCTAAGAAGGGGAATGACAAAGCTGGGCCCTTTCTAACAATTATTTGAGGTGGTTTCTGCAGGAATAGGCCTTCTATGAAAAATATTTGACTAGTTATTCCCAGTGATGCCTTCATGCATTGTGCTCGGCAGCAGCAATGGAAGTTATAGGGCCTTACTTCTCTAGTGCAAGTTTTAGGAGATCATGAATCCAAAGCACAAGGTCTTTGTGAAGGTAGGTGCATAGAAGCAGGATGGTATCGACAGCAAATATTTACATATTGCATGTGACCTCTATGCTTTAAATCATCACATTGTCACTTTTTTAAAAAAAGATTTATTTGTACATACAAGAACTGGGGTATAGGCCAGAGGTATGAGGGCTGGTGAGAGGATTTACCAGAGACAGAGTGGGGAACAGAACAGGCAGAATGACCGAAATACACTGCTGAGGGGAGCAGTGGGAGAGTCAGGAGAGGTCTGCTGCGCCATGTGGGTAGCTCCCTGGCTGGGGATCGAACTCGTGCTGCAGTGGCTGCAGATAGCTTCAGAGGTGGTCTCTTTTTTTTCTTTTTTTCTTATAGAGGCATGTTTTTATTTGTTTGTTTGTTTGTTTGTTTGTTTGTTTTGTTTATACATGCACTGGGTACAGTCAGAAGCGCGGGATGGTGAGAGGATTCACCAGAGCCAGAGCGGAGAGCAGAGCAGGCAGAAGGACCAAAGTACACTGCTGAGGGGAGCAGCAGGCGGCAGGAGAGGTCTGCGCGCCATGTGGGACCCTCCTCTGGTGGCCGCGGAGCAGCCGGGGATCGAACCGGCACCACAGAGGCCGCGGGCAGCTTCGCAACCCAGCGCTCAACCGCTGCGCCATTGGTGAGGCCCAGAGGTTGTGTCTTAACCCCTTGCGCCACCAAGGAGGCCCACATTGCCACTCTTGATGAAATAACATTTTGGTCTTCACAGCCTGGAACTCTATAAACACCAATAAACATGGCCTAGAGTACCTTTACCCTCTGGGAATTTCAAAAAGGAAAGGAGTTAACAGGGAAAGGGGAGGAAAGTAGACTGTGAGACAAGGGCCCAGGTGTGAGTGGATGTGTTCCCAAAAGGAAGGGGTTACACCAGGGAGGGCCAGCTGGAGGCCCTTGACAGCTAGTCAGTTTTCCCCAAGAGATTGTGTGTGCTGGGGGAGGGGTGGCAACCTGCTCAGCTGTGAGGTTGAGAAGCCTGGCCTGTGAGCCCCACTGAGGAGAACAGATTGGAGGAGGGTGTGATGTATCCAGTGAGGAAATAGCGTGAGCCCAGGCAGCAAGAATTATCTTATAAAGACATCCTAGATAAAGTGGGATTTCTTAGAGCTGAAGTTATGCCAGACCCAACTTTACCTTCCTCTTGTTAAATAATTCATTTTCTTTCCAGCCTAAATCCTTCTACCTCTCCTTCACTATACCCTTGTTAATACACGCAGAACACCTGTTCATGATTTCTTGCGTTTGATAATGTCAGTCATTACTATCCTACTGGTTTTCCCCAGGTTTGCAGAAACCCACTTCACTATCTTTTTTTGCTTTTCAGATCCTGGTTTCAAACCAAGAAATCATGCTTCTACTTTTTTTGAGATAAAGCACAGTTCTCAAACTATAGAATCCTGATTAAGGATTGTCTTTGTCAAATATGCCCCATGTTTGAGTGTTTAGAGCAATCACTCCGGTGATATTCTACATTGAAAAATAGGCTTTTTCTTAATTTAGAAAACTAATTCATTCCTTCAGACTTCAAGTATGTCAGAAGAATATCAAGTAAAAGGTGAAATTGTTCCTGGCCACTGTCAATCCCAATTCACAGAAGTAACAAATACTAACAGTTTGATTTGCAATTTTTTTGACCTTTCCCGTTTATATATGTGTATATATGTAGTTTAGGGTTTGTTTTTTTTAAGATTTGTTTATTCATGCATACAAGAACTGGGGTGCAGGCCAGAGGTGCAGGGGGTGAGAGGACTCACCAGAGACACAGTGGGGAGCAGAACAGGCAGACTGATTGAAATACACTGCTGAGGGGAGCAGCGGGCGAGACAGGAGAGGTCTGCTGCGCAATGTGGGTAGCTCCCTGGCTGGGGCTCGAACTCCTCTTGCAGTGGATGCAGATAGCTTCACAGTGCTTTGCTTAACTCCTTGCACCACCAGGGAGGCCCCTAGGGTTTTGTTTTTGTGCATAATATTGGACCATCAATTACATAGTGTGTTATGTACTATTAACTTTAGCTTATTTATTGTGGGCAATTTTACATAAAAATTTCCATTATATATATATGTGTGCACATAGATATATATCCATTATCATGTATCTCATCTATTCTCATTCTCTCTGTCCTCTCTCCTTTCTTAGATTACTATAGTAGCTTCCTTAGTGTTCTCCCTGCCTTTCTCACCTACACACACTTCTCCGCGCAGCATCCAGGACAATTCTTTGACAACATCAAGTTAAAGGTAAGAGTCCTTGGCTTAAGCTCTATAGCCCTAAGTGATCCAGTCTCTCCTCCTCTCTGGTTCTCACCACATCTGAGCCCACTTTACCCAAGGCCTTTGCTTTGGCTAGACCTCCCCAGTCTGGAAAGTTCTTTTCTTAGATTTCACACTGACTTCTGTACTTGATTCCATCCTTTGTGCAAATCTTTCTCTTCCCCTGACCATCCTATTGAAAATTGCAACTGAATTCTCTTCTTGAGTCTACTGTTTCCCCTTTCACAGCACCTTGTGACATGCTGTATAATTTATGCACTTACCTAATAGGTTATCTGTGTTGCTTATCACCTAACTCCCTCTAGAATCAGGTCTGGCTTTAGGGGCATGCAGCCAGTGCAGACACATAGGGCCCTGTACATAGTCCTGTGTGCTTGGTTAATGTTCTGCTGTCACTATCATGAAATATTAGTCATTTTTGAACAGAGAGCTGTATTTCCATTTTTACTAGGCCCCCCAAATTATTTAACAGACCTTGTCTTGAATGTAAACATCACAAGGCAAAGATCTTTATTCTGAACTCTGATGAACCCCAAATTCCTGGAACAAGAACATATGTATAGTATTTGCACATAGTAGGTGCTCAATGAATATAAATAATCCACTCTTAGCAGTTTCTTATTCCAAAGATGACTACCATTTATTTAACTAGTCCCATATGGATTACAAACATGTGTTGCAATAAACAACCTTTTTATACATAAAACTTGGTACTCTTGAGTGGTTTGGTTTAAATACTTTTGAAGGTATGCATTGGACTCTTAGTCCTTTTTTATTTCTAGTGACACTGATATTATTGAGACTTTGCATGCTTTCATTGGAAACAGCTGTTTTTAACAAATTGCTTGCAGGCTACATACAGATTTATTTCTCATCAGATGAGGGTTACCAAGCACAGCATAACATCTACACCAGCGATTCATAGATTCATAGCCTTGATTGCACATTGGGATTACCTGAAATCTTTTAAAATGCAGATTCCATCCCAAACATCATGATATAATTAGTCTGGGTTGTGGCCTAGAATCGCAGGTGATTCTAACAGGTAAGCATTTCATTCTTCATCTGCTTTAACCTCATAGACTGAGTGACAATGAATGAGTTTATTTTGTTGCTTTCCCTTATGATGTAGTGCTGCCTTTTGAAATATGCAATGTAGCAGCAGCTCAAAGAAAAGATGGTTAGAGATTCTTTTTCCAAAGTAAGACAGAAAACATTTCTATTCCAGGAAGTTCTTAGCCAAATATAAACATATAAACATAATGGGCTTTATATGTATTGATTGTTAGTTCTATTTTATATTCCTGTAAGAAAGTATTCATTGCTAAGCATAATAGATTTCTCTATTCTCAAATAGTGATTAAAGCAACAGCATTTAAACCAATTTTTATCCAGACTACTTTCACTTACATTCATTTAAGAAATATTTTAATACTCTTATTAAATGGGACATGTGGTGTGTTAAACAAAAAAAAACCCAAGGAAAGAAAAAGAATATTGAATAATTAGCAATTAGCAGTCATAAGGATGAAAGACTATTTTCTAGCAAGTTCTTCCAAAGTACTTATGATGCTTCTCCTCCACCCCCAACTACTTCT